AACACACCGGCTATCACTGGTTATACAAATTGCAGCTACCCATTGATCAAAACCATAGTCCTAAAATGAACAGTTTCAGAGCTCTACAAATTCCAAAGCTAAGACATTAGCCAGTTTTGAAAAAAATACTTATTCTAAAATTTTATAACATATTCTTACAAATGTTTTTATTAAAGTTCAAAATTAAACTTGAACCGGTTATTACCGATTTGGAAAGATGCACAATACCACACATTACAAAATTTTACTTGGAAGCAATAATCCTCTCCAAAACGTGACCTGTTTGGGCTTAAGAGATTGGAAAAACACATATCTGAAGGTAGACGAAAAGACATTGCTGAACGGTACATTTGTAGGAATTAACTAATAAGAAACCGAAAGTTCGTTTTCTTTAGAAAGGCTATCCCAAGGTCTTTCGATCCATTCTTCTTTTTTCATCAATTCATAGTCTCGAACCCTCAGAAACTTCTTCCTTCGGCTGCTCTGCTTCGAAATGCTCTGGATACAAAAACCACTTGTCAATTTGTAGCAAACTCCAAGGCGTCGCCGTCCTCTCGAATGGAAAACAGTGAAATCTCAATAAGGGAGTCCAAAAGAGTTGTTCCAGCCAGGCGGAAATAACTTCCTTTTCCTTGTAGTACACGGAGACCTCGGAAAGGTCAAATTGCAGTGAATGCTCAGCAAGTTATTCACGCACTCTCTTCGGCAGTCCAGATGGTAAACACATCCATATCTCTACTCTCGCAAGCAACGAACTTCCTTTAGAGGTTTCTAGAGTTCTTTGCCCCTAGGTCACCCAAGACGGAAGGCCCCGAAACTCCAAAACAAGCATCATGAAAATACGTAGGTGGATCTAAAAAAGGTTAAAAGCATCAGGCATTTGAAAAGTAATTATTGTGGGGGGTAATACTTTATTCCCACGATGTAGGCATATGACACTACTTGTCTAGCAGCGGTTGTGCGGGTAGGTACAGTAATTATCGCAGACGCGTCAGAGCGACTGAAATGGCAAGACGTTTAGAAAAGTGGTCTGGGTTGGAGGTGCGAGCCGTGATTCATTGCCCTGGTCAGGTATCCGGAGCGTGGCCGTGCCGTTACTGCCGATTGTTACTGTACCTATTAGACGAAGTTACGTGAAGCCATCCGACGCAAACCCCCTAATGTTGAATAATGGTGTCATCCTTCTGCATGGCAATGCCCGGCTTTATACTGCTCACCCAAACTCAAGAACTGCTGCAAAAGTAGTGAGAAGGCTGGAATCACCCTCAGTATAGCCTAAATTTTGCATTCAGTAACTAATTTCTTTTTCCTAAGGAATATTTATCTGGGATTACGTTCACTTCAGGCAGTGATGCGAAAACAGTAACCAAGATCTATAGCTCAATGGGCAGGGACGTGATTTTTACAAAGCCGGGTTAAACAAGTTCATCCTGCGTTCAGATAAATATCCAAATGTATTTTGATTATTATGTGGAAAAATGATAGGCAAGTATGTCTCCCAATTCCCTTTTGAAATTTTCTATCTATTGTTAGTAAATATTTTTTATTAACCTTGTATTTTTTTTATCAAACCTTGTAGATAAATAAATAAGTTTAGATGGGAAGGTTCTAATGCCAGTAATTTGGGAGTTCAAACACAATTCCTAGTAACTGTTTTTTCAAAGACTAATTTTTTAGCAAACATATAAGATCTTTAACATGCTTGCAAGTTATTCATATATAGTACAAGTAACAACTCTTCGGACTTAGAAGCCGAAGAGTAGGTACTTTAAAGGAAAGAAACGGAAAAAATAAAAATTAGGTTTCAATATTCACAAATTATTTAGGTGAAAACCAGAGTAAATGTAAACAGAAGAATTAAGACTAAAATTAGTAAACATTGAGGGTAATTTGGGGCTCTCAAACACTGAGGACCTATTACCAAAACTCATCAAACAACAATTAAATCAAGAGTGTAAGTGGAAACAAAATTTAAAATATGAATCAAGTTTTCTTTCAAAAATTAAATATAATTAGTTTTCTCCTCGAAGGTTTTTAAAATAAATCTACTTGTTTATGTGCGATATCTATATCAGGAGGATGCGCATGAGGATTTGTTATGTGCACTGTCTTTGCCAACCAACACTACAGGAGCAGAAATGTTCAAGTCACTGGATGGTTATATATCAGTACAATTAAAATGGTCCTTTTGTTTAGGCATATGCACAGACGGAGCTGCTGCCATAACTGGACAACTGTCTGCTTTAGCTCTTCGGATCAAGGAAGTTGTACCTGAGAGTGAATCTACTTATAGTCTCATTCACAGGGAAGTGCTAGCAAGCCTAAAACTTTCACCGGAATTTAGCAGCGTATTGATTGATGCCGTTAAAGTTATTAACTACATCAAAGCACACGCCCTTACTCGCGCCTGTTTGAGCAGTTTTGTGAGCAGATGGACGAAGAGTACAGATGCCTTCTGTTATACACAGAAATAAGATGGTTATCCAGAAGAAAATCGTTACTAAGAGTAGTTGAATTGCGAGAGTCATTGCAAAGATTTCTCTTAGAAAAGAAGTCATCGCTGGCAGCACATTTCATTGACAAGGTATGGGCCACCAAACTGGCTTACCTGTGTGACATATTTAACCTGCTGAATGAACTCAATCTGTGCCTTCAGCGGAAAATGACAACTATTTTCAAGTTGGCAAACAAAGTAGCTGTATTTAAAGCCAAACTGGAGTTATGGGGACGGAGGAAGAACAGAGGCATTTTCGACATGTTTCAGACATTAGCGGGGATTTTAGGCGAGATTGAGCCTGAACATTCATTCTCCCAGTTGGTGCACAATCAATTGTCTTTGCATTTAAAAGAGTTCGAGCGCTACTTCCAAACCACAAAAGACCCACGAACTGGTAAGGAATGGATCTGAGACCCATTTGTCAACAAATCAGGCGAATCTAGCATATCTATGCAAGAGAAGATCAACTGCTAGAGGTTGCAAATGATGGCGGCCTTAAAACTACGTTCAAGACAACAAGTCTGCCGGTGTTCTGGATTAAAGTCATGGCAGAATACCCTGAGATTGCCAACACAGCACTTAAATCCCTATTGCCATTTCCGACAACCTATGTGTGTGAAGCGGGGTTTTCTGCAATAACAGCAAGCAAAACAAAGCAACGGAATAAGCTGGACATAAGCAACACACTTCGGATGTCATTTTCTCCGATTACCCCCAAATTGAACAGTCTCATTGCAAAGAAAGAAGTTCGGGGTTCTCGTTGATTTAACGTTCTAGTAATTTAAAATGTTAAATCACTTTATTTTTTGGTGTAACTGTATTTTATTTTGAAGGCATGTTTAAATACAATTAAATTAAAATTAATAAATCAAAATAATCTAAAATATAAACAATCAACGTCCACCCTATCCCCCAGCGGGCTGCGGTAAAATTATCAAACGTTGGGAACACTGATCTAGATGACCTATTATATTCATCATTCAGTTGCCTAACACCTGCATGGCCGTTTCCTGCACTTATATAAAAATTGTTATTTTTATAAAGCATCTTATATAAAAATTATTTAATAAGATGTTTACGTGCGAAAAATAATTCTATCAATTTGTGACTTTCTATGTAACAATTTGAGGCAATAAAATTTCTTCTCTGTCCTTCATCGTAGTGTTATAACTTTCCAAATAACATGAAGTCAAAAGGAATGACAAGTTCAGCTACTTTGGAAATTTCATTTTCTCTGAGACATTTACTTCTTTATTATTGTACTTTTTATGAATTATTCTGTTTAAAATTACATACATTTCGCAACATATTACTCAGATTAATATTTTCATGCAGAAAACTGTATAATTAATAAAATCTATTCCTTCGTTATCAACAAAGTGCTGTGCAAACAACGTACAAAATGAAGGAATTTATGTCTAATTTGTCTTTATGCTTAACTAAGCATATGTCTTAATTAATTATGTCGAAGTAGTATCAGAAATCTGAATTTCTTTTCTGAAGAACAGAAGCTTTATGAATATAAGGTTTATTATTTTAATCGGATAAAACGGCAAGTAAAGCTATCAAGTATAAAATTAAATACGGATATTTCGTAACATAATTCTGAGAAGTTCCTTTATATAATATGATTCTTTTTATACCTGACATAATGTAATTCTGAAATTTTAAATTCTCTCACATTTTTATAATATAATTCTGAGAAGAAAATTCCTTTAATTTTTATTAAAAAGATCAACTTAAAATTGTGTGAATTTACAATGTCAACTAATTTCTGAAGTTCTTTTTAGAAAATTAGAGAAAACGTATTCATTAACATTTAAGTGCTTATGAAAAAATTAGCACATAAGATGCCACCTTAAAACATAAATTGCCATATAAAAATGATAAATAAATCAATAAATATCTTTGTAAAATGAAAGAAAACTCTTAAAGGATTCAGATTTTAACGATTATCCAAAAAGTATCTTTTAAAGTTTAACGTGGTTTATCAAGTAGTCGTTATCAGCAGAGATGGCCCAGGTAATATAGCAGAATATTTTACAGGATATTAAATGAACATGCATTTAGACTAAAATGTGAAAGTTACATATCTTCTGTATATTTAAAAATTGAAAAAACATGTAATGCACGTCTATAAAAATATTGAATGTTTTGAATGAGATTTATCATGAATTAAATATATATTAATTTAAATCATTGGGATTAAAAAGTAAATAAGTGATATTTTTAAAAACTGCATTGAATACTTTTAAACAGTATAGTTTGCTAAATAATTACAGACAAATTAAATATCAAAGAATAATACCTTACGTTTTTCCGGAAGGCAACAGACTCGAAAGAAAAGTGAAACAACACATTAAAAATGAAACAATTCAAAATCTTGTTTTTGAGACTAATAGCTCTTTGGTCTTAAAAAAAGGAAAACAAAGATCTGTTCTTCAAATGTGTACTTTACTGAAACAAAATGCTTCACTGATATGTCTTTATTTATTCACTGCAGATCATATCCGGTCAATTCTTATCAGATAAACGTGTCAGCACCTACGTAGAAGTCGATATGTATGGTCTTCCAGCTGACACAGTTCGACGGAGATTCAGGACAAAGACGGTCCCAAATAATGGCATTGATCCAGTTTACGATGAGGAACCTTTCGTTTTTAAGAAGGCAAGTGTTTCAATAGGAACCAAGTATCTATATATGCTTCGCTTTGTTTTTCTTAATTAAACTTTTCTAATTACTATGACTCAAATCTTAATGTAATTTCAAATCAATTGCCTCATTTTAAGTTATATGCAAGTATAGTATTTTCGACTGTTAACTTGTTTCTTAATTTTCTAAACTAAGTTTCAAAGGAAATTTGGAAGGCTGTGCGGGAGGGCGTACGTATAATACACGTTAACTGTATTTTAATAAAATTGTAATAACGATTTTCAGCCATTCATATGAGTTTGGAAAATTAGACGGAATATATTAAATTAATAAGAACATTCTTTTTTACATTTTCAATAATTTTATTGTTTAATCTTCCTAAAATGTATATTGCTTTATATACGGTTGATTAAGAAGGAATTGAATCATAATTAATTTCAGTCTAAAATTAATATTTATCAGAGCTCATTATCTTAATGAAATTTAATAGAAACTGGTCTGATTGTAAAAAGATAATTCACCTAGAATATTTTCCTAAGAGCCTAAAATTTCATTCTCGTCAAGCAGTTTCTAGCAAAGAAAAATGTCACATTTTACAGCTTCACCTCTCCACTCACGTTATTTGTACCTGCAGATTACTTTCTGTCTTCTTAAGTGAAGTCGTACGCAAATTATTTTCGTGTTAAAGAGATTCAGAATAGCGTTACCAGACTTAAACAGTAACCCAATAGATGAGTTCCACGAAAGAATTAAGTCTGCTGTACTAACATACTAAACGTTGTACAGACTTAGAATGTTTTCAGACTGAAATTTATCACCTAATTGTTTTCAACCTTCCATTTTGTACGAACTCAGGCTTGAAACTTTGTAAACATAGTCATGTGTAGTAATATGCTAGTATATGTTACTTCTGCATTCATATTTCTGTTTCAAACTAAAGTTTTCGTGCAATCTCGATTTCATCTACAGTTTAAAGTAAATCTGCATATATGTATAGTTAAATGATGGGAGACCCTGAAAGCCACCTTGCCTAGAGTCTCATGGTGTTAAAAAAAATGGTAGTTCTGTTCTTTTTTGTTTGGCATAAAAAAAGTGACTTTATAATTTTAAAAGTTCTACATAACATAAATTATTTTCCTAATAGTCATTTCAAAGCCAAGGAAATAAAGAAGTGTCTTAACATATATTTGGCTGTAAAGTGCAAAGTCTTTTGTTGTAACACACACAAAAGATTGAAATTCTTATAGAATCCTATTTTCTTGTTGGGCATGCTTTATTTGTAGAACAAAAGTTTCGATGAAAAATGATATACTAAGTGATTATTTGTATAATACATCCTAAAAGAAATTTTTATTTTGAAATAAATTTCCATGATTTATCAAAAGGAAAATTATTCCAGCTTCACTTATTACACTTATTCTAATGAAAGCTAAGTCTGACGAAGTATTTTATAGTGTAACAAGAATGATATACTTTGTTGCATTTGAATGAATTCTTGAGATATAACAACTCCAATGGCTTAGAAGTTTTCTTCCAATAAAGCTGCTATCAGTTCTAGCGTTTCATAAAAATTGCATAAATGTATATTTCTAAAAAAGACATCATAGTTTCAAAGTGTAGTGCTTCTAAAGTTAAAACATTGCTTGGACATAAGATACCCCTTGTGATACTCTATTATGAAATAGGTTTCTAAATATAACATTTATTTTATTTGAAAGTATGAAATTAATAAAAATCTTTTATGCAGTACACTTTTTACTTTAATATTTAGTTTCTTTAAAATTATAAAGCTAATAATAAAATAGATGTAGACAGCAGTTTTAAAAGTTTGATAGGATTATTTGAAAACTGTATGTGCGTAACTATTAAAGCATTTACTTTTTTCATTATTTTTATACTAGTGTTGTTATAAACTAAAAGCCCAAATGCAGGAATAAAAAAATTTATTTAAGGAATAAACTGGAAAATTGCTTTTATATGGTGTTAGGACTGCTCTAATCTATCTTTCACGAAATGTTGTGCTGAACTGCTATTATATTAATGTATGCAAGTTAGGTGACAAGTTGTTAAATGTATATTATGCCATGTTTTCGCTGACATATGTTAACTAATAATATCTGATGTATATCTGAAGCAATTTTTATTCCTTCAGGTTGTGCTTCCAGACCTAGCCTGCCTGCGCATTGCAGTCAATGATGACAATGGGAAGCTACTGGGTCATCGCGTTCTTCCAGTCGTTGGACTCAGACCAGGTAAAGGAATGGGCAAAACGTTTTTCTGAATAAATTATATATATATAATGAAAAATTTTTATTTTGATTTGAAATGCTCTAATAAAATCAAAAACTGTATGAGAGTTTTCTGTTTAAGAATAAAAGTTATATAATCCTATTTTCACTGCATAATTCTTCATGCATGTAAAAAGAACAATTCCATGCAAAGTCGGTGTCAGACTCATTCATAAAAAGGTGATAATTAAATGAACTAGCAGCACTAGCAGATTTTGTCATGCAGCAGTCTCACTTCGGGTATAACAACAACTGTATATGTGGATGCCGTGAAAGGAAATGGGAGTAATTTTTGTTGTGACAATCGCCGGACAAAATAGATAAACAAAGATATTGGAAGGAGAGATCGTTTCCTTCCTTTAAAGATCCTACCAGTAAGGCCGAAACAATTTTTGTGGTGTTAATGAACTAAATAGTTTCAGAGCCATAGCAGCTTGGGGTGAAGGGAAGGACGTTGTTTTGAAAGAAATGTCGCCTGTGTGATTGTCGAAATTCAGAGAAGCTAAAATTAGGAAATTCTGAAATATACAGAAAAATCAAGTTCTTTGTAGGATATTAGAGATAAGCGGTAGCTTTGACAAAAGTGCCCCTTTGAGCATGGCACCTTTTTCCTTTATTGTTTTGGACTGATAATGAAATAAAATGTACGCAGAATATATTCTAGGAAATATTATTTCTTAAAAGTCATTTCAGTTGTTCTCTGGGTCTCCTGCTGCGCGAAACAGACTTTAAAAAATACGTTTTCTTTTTCCAGTGGCGAAATGAACGAAAGTGGTATACCTAATAATAAATTGCTACATGCTTGTAACTGGAATTGGACATATCTTTGGACCAATTTAAAATCAGATCAGACGTGGTTGAGTCAGAAATCATATAAAATTTGTAATTAATTTAAAAGTTAAATAGTGAAAAAATGCTTTCGGGAGAGAACAAAACGATGGAATAGAGAAGAGAGCAAAAGGAAAGGGAAGGATCTGTTCACCATAGAATAGCTTTAAGCATTATCTTTAAAGACTGTCTTTAAGCATTATCTGTCTACCTTTAGTACAACTTTAAAAATTACAAACTATTTTTATCAAATTAAAACTGAAGAGATTGCGGCTGTACAGTTGTAGGTTAAAAGGATTTGGTTTTTTAAGAATTTTAAACCTGATTCGTTCACATAACATTCTTTTACATAGTAACTTTAATTTATCTTTTTACACAGTAATTTTAATTTAAACAACTCCGATGCAACCTTGCTCTGAGGTACTACTGTTAATGAACTTGTATGTATTCTCTAGTGACCCATGCACTTGATACATGCGCATAAGTAACCAATTAAACTTATTCTCCAAGTTAAGCGGCTTGCAAATACAAGATTAATTGCTAATGATACTTTCCATTGATTTCAGTACCTCTTTGCTGTGCTTTATCTGCTGTAGGATAAACCATGATGGCTGTGTAATCTGTTGATGACATCCTCCCTTTTCCCCGGGTTAATCTGGAATCTTTGCCGCCCAGACGGTATAGTGGTTAGGGGAGCCTGACTGCGATACCAAAGGTTCGAATTCCGGAGAAAGCATGGATGTAAAATTGTCTGCCCCTTCATAGGAGGAAACGGTGGCCGCCTATTAGGTGCTTCCATAATAAAATGGTCACCACTTCTGGCCTTAGTAGTGTTATAGGCAAGTGCCCGCCATTTGTAAAAAAAAAGAACCAAAAATCTGGAATCTTTCTAATCCACAAAATTATCTCAATTAAATATATAAGACTAATTAGAAATGTTAGTATTGGTGCAGTTTAAGGCCATTCAAATGCTATTTCCTCATCTAAAATTCCTTATGCTTCCAGCGACGAGATAAGGTCATCAAAAATTCGAAGACAACATATATTTAATTTTCCAGCGACCATAAACACGTTTCTGTCTACCTACAACTTTCGGAAAGTGATCGGTATATGTGAAATAGTTGAATAGCCGCTCATTTCTTCACTCTATACTCAGCACGTATAAGATGAGTATCTTAGGAAGCCAAATTTTAACCTTCTTAGTCTTTTCTTTAGTGTTCATGAGCTTCGATTTGTACTCCTAAATGAGTAAGTTAAGTTCTACAAATTAAATTCATAGTCTGATTAATTCCGTGGAAAGACTATCAGATGATTTCTTGTTAAATTCTTCTGATCACAAGCTATCATATTTTTTTCCCTGTCCAAGATAAAGGGCCCATCAGCGGCCGAGAGGTAACGTCGCTGAACACTGGTAGTTCGGTCCGAGGTTCGAATCCCGCGAACGGGCTGGCTGCATGGGTGTTTTCGTGGTTTTCCCCCATGTGTAACGTGTATACGAGCCAGTTTCCTTTAAAATGTCCTGCAACTCTGGTGTATGAACAGCACTTAGATCTCTATTTTAAAGTTTTATAAAAAGTGCTGAAAGTTTATTTTCATAAAATCAAGTAATGTAGAAGTTTTAATTTAATCTTTTGTTTTGCACATCAACCTAATTTTATATTCTTTATTAAAAATTAAGAAAATGTGTAATATACACTTATAATATCTATGTCTTTTATAGCAACTTGCAACTGATTGAAGCTGTAGTTTTTTTTCCTGCTTTGCACAAAAATTAATTTTAGATTAGATATAGAGGTTATTCAGTTCTAAAGCCCATTCGTGCTCTGAACAAACAGAATACTTCACACCTCAATTAACTCCAAATTATTTGTTTCATTAAACTATTGCATTTTTTCAAATTAAATTGCATTATTCATTATCTTCTATGATAATATCTAAATGATGATTTTTCTTAGGTTATCGTCATATCTGTCTCCGTAACGAATCTGGGCAGCCATTGACTTTAAAAACGCTGTTCGTCCATATAACTGTCAAAGATTATGTACCTGATGGACTATCCGGTAAGAAAAGCTCTCATCTGATTTTTTGCAGCTGCTCATCATTTCTGATGTTTTATCACCCAGAACAACCATGATACCATGATAAAATAAAAACAAATCTTGCTATAAAATTTTTTATTACTTTTGCATGTTTAAAACACATGCTTGCTACTAACAAACAGCATGATGTATTTTTTAGTTGCTCATTATTTATGCTTTATAATTATGAAAAAGGTAAGAGGCACTTGCATTTGAAACTAAAGCTAGTTCAATTCAACACCAAATGCTAACGATTAACACATTCAGGCTTCTTGTACTAACTTTGGACCGTCATCTGGTAATGCATAACACATGTAAACGTAACATAAATATGCCAAATGAAATGTTAGAGATCTCCATTGCAATTTCAGAAGGCTTCATATTCGCATGCTATCCTGTGTAATTTGAATCAGCTAATTCACTTGCTAGTACTAGCGCTATTTAGTTGCTTGGATGTATTTGATGCACATGATGCATTCACACGCGCGAGTTACGCAAATAAATTGCGCTGTTATAACTATGGAACTGCGTTTCAGATTTGGCGGACGCACTGGCCAATCCGATTGCATACCAGTCGATGGTGGAGAAGCACGCGCAGCAGCTGATGGCCCTCACGGATGATTTAGACGAAGTAAGGCTTCCCACCTTATTCATTTAAACTTTAAAATTATATCATCATACATGTCCTTATAATTCACGCACAGGTTAGATGAATAAATGCATCCGAAGATGTTAATGACACAATTGCAATATACAGTACTTATTTAATCGCAGTTTCTCAAGTTAATTTCTTATACATTTTCTTTTGCAGCTGACGTAATACTGAGATAAAGTTCAAGTGACGGGTGTCTCCTTCTTAACTAACTGTAATCTGTTCTGTTACACTTTCGTAGTGTATCACTCAGCTTTACTGGAGTATCGATGTCATTCACAAGTTTTACGTAACATTTATTAATACCATGAACAGAGATTTGGTTATTTTCTTGGAGTCAATAAATAAGTAGTAAAAGCATAACTGAAAACATTTACTGTGCATCTCCTTCGCAGCGGGAAAATCAGAAATCGAAATTCCATTTGTCTTATTTATTTCTGATGTAATTATTTTCTCTAAAATGTAGCGGCCATCAAAGCTGTGATATTTTTAGGTTATTCGAATCATCACTCGAACGAAATATAAGAGAGGAACTTAGCAATCACAGAGATATTAAAACGATATGATATCAAGGAAACATATTCTTGAATTATGGATAAAGTGATTTTGAACAAATTTTCAATACATTTTTCTTAAGAATACTAACATTAGCACTTGAATAACTACTAAATTTTGGCACTGAAAAAACATCAATTAGCAATACCAATAAATAGTTGTTATTATTCAGCATTAACAAGTGACGAGGCAGAAAATTCAGTCTAGTTCTGATTGTACTTCATTTTCCATAGCCTTGAAATTTTGAAAAAAATGAACCTGTATACGTATTAATAATTTCACGAAGAGGAAACAAAGGATAAATTCTTAACGTTGGTCCGTAAAGTTAAAATTTCTTAGCAAACGATGGATCTATGTTAGTGAGTTAGAGTTTACATTACAAGTAAGAACTCTAACCAAAAAGAAGTTTATTACCTTCTGAAGAAATATTCGTAATAACTAGAGAATTTATAAATTTTAGTGCTTCAAGCAAAAGTTATTTTATCCGAACACATCAGCCTTTTATTGTCTGTAAACTTATTTTAACAAACTAGATGGTTAAATGACGACATTTTCTATATAAATGATGATAATGATTTCTTAAGCAGTGGCATTAACCATAAGCTAATCACATAATATACTATATAATTAATTACAAATTATTGACTTCGTGTTCCATAAATATGCTTCAATAATGAAGAAATTCACATCAGCTAAGCTTTGTTTAGAGTAAAAAACCAAGTGGGGTTTCTGAAAATTTCACTGGCATCTTGAGAACTACTTCTCGGACATATTATTTTGAAAATAAGTATAAAAACTTTATTTATGAAAGCTAAAAAGTTGTTAAAATCAAAGGTAATTTATAAAAAAAACTTTTGTTGATAAACATAATTTAAACTATCAGTTTGATTTAATTTCTAAGAAAAATATTGACTATTGTTACGAATGTTGTACTTAGCCAGGTAATTTTAGTGCAATTATAAAAAAAAAAAATGTATTTCTTTTGTATAATGTAACATGAAAAATCTAGAGGGAAAAGCTATGCCGGAAACGTAAGAGTACAGGGCAATGTTCATTTAACATTGAGTAAATAGGTATACCAGTGATTTAGCGAGATATAGTCAAACTGGCAACGGTTTCGATGACTTGCTTTGTTGCCAAATTTGGCAAGAAACAGACAAAAATCGCCAAACTTGGCTATTATTTCGTCCGGTCCCTGTATCATAGTACTAAGTATCTTAACTGAATAATTGTAATTGACCACTATATTGGCTGCAATCGTAATTTGACACTCATATTGCCTTCCACTAATTTCGAGAAATAGAAAGTACTAGAAATATCACGGTGGCCGGATGAAAATTATATAAAGCCGGAAATATTATCTGTTCTCAGTTGTAGTTGTTGCTGTTGTTATTGCGAGTTGTAGTTCAGCGTGAGATCGGAGTACTGAGATATCTCTGGGTTAGCTTTCTCTTTAGATGCATTTTTCTTTGCATTGTGTTTAACGTTTTTGGTAGTTTAAAGTGTAATTACTGATTGTACTTTGTGATACTGTAGAAACCTTTATGAGTATTTCTGTGGAAAACTCCTGAACTATGAATTCTTTCTTTTGAATTTTCTTTTGATAAAATAAATTTTATTAAACTATTACCGGACCTGTGTGCATTCAATCTATTACGAACCCGTACGCACGCAACACTTGATGATTTTGATTACTTGATGATCGAAGTTCATCTATATGTATCAATACGTTTCCCATATATCAATGCAATTAAACCAAATGTTGATTGTTTAGTTCCAAATTTTATGCGAAACATAAAGAAAGAAGATAGATGGAAGATCCGTTCAATTTATCGCTTTTTTGTGATTCTATTTTCTTTTCTATAACAATGAATAAACATAAAAGGTTCCTATGTGAATGCATTTCGAATATTATAGTATAAGCGAATTTTCTGCTGGGAGTCTCTGAAAATACTTTATTTAAAATCTTCAATTTATGGTCTTTCAAGGCGTTTAGATGATGAGAACTATATAGCAAATATAGTTCTAGTTATCATTCATAGCTTTAGCAAATTACAGGCATTATAAAAGTTTCAAATTTAAAACTATCCAATCAAAGAAGAAGGTTAAAATATAAAATATAAATACCATTGATTTGACTAATAGCACTGAAAGGCCCTGGAGTGTTATCTAATAACAAAACATCAAAGCTTTATTCTCAAACCACCATGTAGAAAACTAGTACTAGTTTTCTCTTTTGTCACCTTACCTCAGATAATCTCTCAGTATTCATTGAAGATTATTAAAATTAGTAAATATGAATTTCATTTGCTTCATTCGTTCTGGACGAATTTCATCATGGAATACTTAAAACTACCTGACTGTCGATACCATCATCAAAAGATATTTGTATTTTGTAATGTTGAAAAGCAAAGACTTGTTAGTGCAAAGGTTTATTCGTAGTATTATTTAAAACATGAAAATCATATTACTGCCAAGATTTTTACTTTTTTTACGTAAACGATTAAAGGCGTTAATAGCTATCCAGTTATAATTATTTTATTATTTTTTTCTTTATATAATAGTTATCATGCAATATTTAATTAAAAGTTTACATTTGTAACTATGTAGCAATTGCTCGTAATTTTAAACGGTTAAAGGCGTTGACGCAGTTAAGATAATATCTTCATAGCTATCAGTTAAAATTATTTTTTTCAGTTACCTAATAATTATCTTGAAGCATTTAATTAAAAGTTTACTTCTATAATTGTGTAGCTATGCCTCCTAATTCTCTAAAACAAGATTAAATTAAACTTTTTTTTCTGTTTTACAAATCTTCAATAGATAAAGCTCTTCTATTTTTCACTTATTATCATGTATAGAAAACTTGGAGAATTACTGGAATAAAGTACGGATTTTTAACACTCTCAGCTTTAACTCAGTTTTTCAGCCAGTAGGTCAAATAATTAAGATACAATAGGTAAAGATTTCTTATGCATATTTTTGCATTATTTTCTTATGAACACAAATGAGGATTTATTCTGAGGCTTTGCATTACTTAAATCTTCTGGTAATTCAGCTTTTTTCAAAACATATGAATACCTTTGAAAATTTTATTAATAATTAAGCTTATTCGTGTTTTCAATGCCAAACATATTTTTTGGGGGAGGAGGGATGAGAACCGAACTGACAATTATGACTTCCATTTCTTTCTTGCCGATCACTGAATATAACACAAGTCAAAGAAAAATCATTCAAGAATAATTTCTAATAGTCATAATTTAGTTATATTTTTATAATACATTTAAATCCCCGTAAGATATAGTTTCTATTAGTTATCAAAACCCCCTACAGTACATGAAAATTGGTTACATATTTCCATTTTCCTCGAATGTAACTGCTTTCCTTACAAATTTTTTTGAAAAAAATTGCAAAAAATTATCATATTTTTTATTTTATTATTAAATACAAGGAAACTAAACAAAACAAAATATGTAGGTTTTAAGTTGAATTTTTAATTTTTTACAAAAAGCATTTAGTTTTAATATTAGTTTACTATCCCGAGTTATCTCGGGGAAATGAAAAAAAAAGTTAAATATTAGTCTTCGTATGATAGTTTTGAAACAAGGGCCAACACAAAGTGATACCCGACTTTTTCTACACTGGTATCTGGTCTCTTTTCGTTGGCTTACCTTTGGAATCTCTTTTACGGGAACACAGAGTACACTGTCTCGTTGGATTTAACTTTTTTCGGTAGCAGGAATATCATCTGGAAAATGATCACCTCTTCAGAATCACTATCTGCTGAAAAATTATCGCTTACGCTATCTTGCATCATCGCCATTATTTTACTTTTTTCAACGCAACTATCCTTCTTTATACATTACTAATCCACAAAACGGCGTATACTATACAACATGGAAAACACGTGACCAGTCTCGCCAAAAGAACCGCGAAACCAACAAAACTTGGCAAACTCCCAGTCAAAGCTGAATATTTCATTTCCTCCCGGCCGAGTAAAACAAATCGTACTGACCAATTCTTCACCCGAGTTTTCTCGTCATAATAATTAACTGCAATATATACGAACCCGAAATATTCGGATAATCGGTTAAGAATGATGCAGAGACTCGGGCAAGCAATTAAGAATGATATCTTATTAAAATTAGGGATATGATGTTCGGTGATCACTTGCTGTACCATCTTTAACAATGGGAAAAAAAGGGGAAACTGTATGCTGCAACTAATAAACGTTGTTTTCTAGGAAGACGACACGACGAAAGAAGACGGTGAAAAACGAAAAGTTTCACAGACCTCGAAAACTACCCCTAAGCCAAGTAAACTGGAAGAGAGGGGACGGATCGGTTCTTCTGGAGACGAACCAGCGGGTTCAACGACTCATACAGTTCAGAGGCATATGACTATGAACGGTACAGTGCCCAAACAAGCGTCTGTGGGATCTTCATCGCCAGGACCAGTCAAATCGCAGGATACAGCTAGTAAGCAGATAATGCCCATTTTCTTCTTTGATTATACAAGTGTAATAGATAACACAGACAGAATGTGAAATAAATTTGAAAAATTATCAAATAAAATCCGAATGAGAAACTAAAAATTTCATATTATCAGGTAATTCTATTAATAGTATTACCTGATAATATGAATAATGCTATACATATTTGTATTGAATAACCTTTACTTTTGGAGATAAATTTTTTGTTTATTATTCTCTTTGACGAGTTTAAACAAACAAAACTAATAAATTGTCTTAATTTTACTCCTAAAACAGTATTAACATTTGGTCGAGCTTCTTTAGTGCTGCTTAAAACTCAGACTAGTTATAGTATAGACAGTTCAAACTGAAAAATAGGTCTTTGAGCTCCGAATATAGTAAGCCATTGCATAAAAGTTTACTCCTGTAACTATTGTAGCAGTTCCTCGTTATTCTCTGAAACAACATTAAATTAAACGTTTTTGTCAGTTTCGTAAATCTTTAATAGATAAAACTCTTCTACAACTCATACAGTAGTCATAAAAAGCAAACTTGCAGGAATGCCTTCGTGGAGATATGTAAGGGAAACTATCTCGTATATACGTTACACATGGGTAAACCCATGAAAACGCCCATGCAACCAGCCGTTCGCCTGGAATCGAACCCATGTCGGAAGTACCGGTGTTCAGCGATTTTACCGCTCGGAAACTGGTGGGCTCATATGCTTACAGAACTGAACATAGTAAAAAAATTCCTTAAAATTCTTATTTGAATGGCCGAATATCTTTGTATTTATTTGACATGAAATTATATAAAAATTAGGTGTTCCATAAATTACGCAAGCAGCAGTTTTTCTATATAAAATCTCCACAGAAATGATACTCAGATAGTTGCTAATTTCAAGACATCTGTTTGTGAGGACACATTAAAGATACACGATTTCACTTTCACATTTAATTTTCAAGAAGCATAATAATTTCATTAAAAAATTAACTTAATAATGATATCCTTTACTTGAATTATTATGATCCGATTTCAGTCTTTATGTATTGTACATTTTCCAGTGACGTATATTTTCAATCATTCCGAAGTTGGCGAATATGAGAGACAAAAGTGCCTCTACTGTGGCAACAAATGAAGAAATAAGCAATAAAATGCATTTGTTTTCAAATGCTAAAAACGGAATGAGCGAAAGTTTAGGTATTTTGAGGGTAGCTAACGTGGAACTCTACTGTTCAAAGAGAAAAATATGTTTTATAAGCTTTTACACGGCAAAAATACTAATACCTGCTTGAAAAAAAAGGTTTTGTCTCAGTGATATTAGGAATGCCGTCGCCATTTGATATAATCTATCAAGCTAAAGCTAAATTTCCTTTATATTTAAAACTTTCCTGATATTTTTAAGTACTACATTAAGTTGAATACTTGAAGAGTCACACGAAATAAAAAGCAATTTATTGACTTGATGATTATCTGTGTTTCGATGAAGGCAATAAAATATTTTTTTTCAGTAATTAGAAAATTTTTAAGAATTATTACATATATAATACTTCTTAAACTTACATATAAACTTGCATATATAGAATAAGTCATTTATATTCTAAAATGTTTTAAAATCTTGTTTCATCAAACGTGGTATGTTTGTTTTCTTGATAAATTACGTTCTTGTATTATAAAGTAGTACTCTCATCTGAAACTCTATATTTGATATTTTAAAAAATATTATAAAACTGCATTTTAAGATAGTAAAAACTTAGCAACAAATTTACTTCTTAATAAATATTCGTTCGCATAACAATAAAAGAGTAAAATGAAAATATAAAATGTCTTTCATTTCTCATGTGCAATGTATTGCTCAAAAAATGGAAATAATTATTTTTCTTTTTCAGGAAGACCTAATCAGCCTGTTTCTAGTATTTCCGAAGACACGCAGGAGAAACCGTTATCGTTGTTGGGTAAGATATAAAATGTTCTATGTAATTTTAATATAAATAATTGCCATTAATTTATTTAAAACATTTTGCACATGAAACCATAATTGCTTCTTGTAGCAGTTCGAATATACTTCCTGCGAGAAGGGTATCATTTACTGAAATCAAATGTGTGTGTCCTTTAATTTCAAAGGGAATTTTAAAAATTTTTAAATCAAATTATTTCAAAACTGTAACATATAAATGATAGAAATAATGTAGTTCTGGAAAATACGCGAACAGTTGGTTCCTCAGTGCTCATTTTATTCAAAACCTGCATGCGTCCAAAGGTATGGACTAAATGTTTTACGCATATTGGATTGAATTGACACATTGGATTGATTAGTATTCCATATACTAGATACTAGATATCTTGTTTATATCTTTCATGTTATACAGATTCTAGTATCTTAAAACAATAGAAATCTTTCAAAAATTTTACAAGTATGTTTTATAATGATTTATAATAATAGTCTGTGATATAATTCATATACAATCAAAGTAAGGTAACTCATTGCAGTTTTGATAAAATTAAAAATCTTAATGTCCTTTATCTGAGAATCTCACAGAAGAAGAAGAAACACTTCTTGTAAGTAAGAATACATGCTCAAATAGTACTAATCTGCAGCACCTAAATTTTTGTAATAAATCAACCCAATATCGACGCATACCAATCAGATACGCATAAAATTATATCCTATCACATGGCTTCGTTAATTTCACGAACTACTGCTTAATATTCAAAGCAAAGGAGAAGCTCACCAGCTGGTAGAAATACAACACGTAGAGCAAATAGGAAAGCTTCTTCGCAATCGGCTGGAGTTTGCCAGTCCCATTTCTCTTAAATTTAGATGCTTAACTCTTATTTATATATATATGGCCATGCTATCACGAAATCGAAGTAATCGCAGAAACTATTAGACGACTTTTCGTCCCGTTTCCTTTCTATCTAAATATCACAACCAAAGTAAAAGATTAAAATAAATATGTTTATTAACACGTCGCCATGACAGTTGTACAAACTCAAAATTTAACAGAAATATTGGAACTGGTTATTGAAATATATTAAAGCATACAAGGGTTTGTCTGCCTAAGGGGAGGATGAGTTCGTGGAAGACTTTTTAAGCAAAATTGGCTCGTATTCACGTTACACATAGGAAAATCCACGAAAAAACAATCATGCAACCAGCTCGCTACTCTAGATCAAACTCCGAGATTCAGCGGTCTTAATCATTCCGCCATAGATGGGGCTTAACAGATACAGAAAGCTTCCCTAAACTGAGTTGGAACATATGTCCTAATTAAATAAATACGAAGTATGGCATCAGCACACCTAAATAACCCTACCAATGGTCAATTGTGTAAGACCACTTATTACAAATAGTTCAACCAGGGTTCTAACCCATGTAAAAGGGTCAGCAGCATAGTTTGTTTTTATGGTTTTCATTGTACGTAACGTGAATAAGAGCCGGTTTTCCATATCAAGTCCTCCATGAAGGCATTAGTTAGATAGACCTCATATGCTTTTTCTTATTCCTAACTAAACCTTGGCTCACCTTAGGTGCTCGTGAAGCATTTCTGAAGTAATCAAAAGCGTAAGGGTAATTGCATCTGTAGGGAAAATAAAGCGAAACGACGGTTAGTTTAAGTAGCCTAGGACGAGAACACTAAAGAAATCTGAGTTTATTTATATTTAAACTAATATCCAGTTTTGTCGAAGTTTACGAAAGTAGAAACTAAAGTAAAGCCCAAATAGAAAGGTAACTGTTTTCATTAATAAAAAGCCTTAATATATTCTTGAGAAGTATATGAAACAGTAAGATAGTAAGATAGATTTTAACGTAAGCGAAAATGTGTTCATTTAAACAAACCTTACAGTTATAAATAATTACCAAATTACAACCATAAAGTTAATTATGAAATCATTTTTTCATTAATAATACTATAAACACTTTGAAATCTGGAGTCGTTAATTTTTTAAATCCCTTTAGAGAAAACACTTATGTAAACAAAAAGCAAAATAGCTTTTCTTTAAATAAATAAACTTGTGTGTTTTTTAAATAAATAAACTTATGTATACTTTGCTGAACGAATATTTTGTCACATGTGTTTCCTTAACATATTCATTAGAATTTTTATTTTTTTTTTAATTCCGAACAAAGCTAACTGAAGCAACCCAGTTTCTCAAAAAAAGCACTTTTTTAAAAGTTATTATACACTGGTGTGCAAAAATTAAGGACAAAGTCGAAAAATTAGCAAAAATTAGCATATCAGCTGATCGAAGGCAAGCGGACAGAAAGACCAATCAGGAGATTAAGTAAGGTGATGTACGGTAGCACATGCGCAGATATGGGCAGGTAGACTAATGCGGAGTGTCTGAGTAGTATTAAAGCATGTTGTCGGTGTAAGATCAGTTTTTTCTGGCAAAGATTGCACGGCGTATAGCAGTTAAAATCACACCGAGTTGCTGCCTCGCGAGAAATGGCGAATAATCAATCTGTTAGACGACATCTGGATGCTTTTACCCGAGGTCGAATCATTGGGAAGTTTGAGGAAGGCCGCAGTGTGACAGTGTGGCTGCAGAGTTCGGAATTGTTCACATAATCGTTTCACGACTTTGGGAGACAATTTCAAACTACAGGAAATGCTATCCGGGGGTTTAGTAGTAGTCGTCCACGAGGAACCACACCCGCAGATGACCGGTATATTGCCTTACAGGCCAGAAGAAACAGGGGGGCAGACACTGGAGGAATCGCTAGACACACACGACCACAGGCGACTGCACGATGATATCGCGTTTTACCGTGGTCCGAAGACTGCACGGTTTGGTCTGTTTGCACGACGCCCTGTGTCCCTCTAACGCTCGGGAGAAGGGCGTTCTCTGTGTTCCGGGAACACCGGAATGGAGAAACAATGAATGGGGACGAGTACTCTTTAGAGATGAGGGCAGATTCAGTCTGAGTAGCGATTCTCATTCGCATACTATCTGGAGAAAGCGGGGAGCCGCAATCATCCCTCGAACATCTTGAAAGGAACAGGTAGGGATGTGTGTTCTCGTTTGGGGAGGCATCATGCTGGTAGTCGTACAGACCTTCAACATCTTCGACGCAGTTCAGTCAACGGGACCCGTTATTGTAACAAGATTCTTATTCCATATTTCTTTTTTTAGAGGCGCTATGGGTCCGCAGTTCTTTTCATGGACGACTGCAACCATGTCATCGCACAGTAGCTGCCGAAAAGCTCTTAGAGAGTGAGGATATTGAACGTATGGATTGCGGCAGATCTCGGATCTCAATCCCATCGAGCATGTATGGGATTTCTAGGCAGAGCTTAGCAAGCTCGTACCTTACCACCAGTAACGAATCCGGAGCTTCGATTGGCGTGCAAGACGAATGGGCACAATGCCTCAATAACTCACACCACCCTCATTCTCTATGGGCAGACGCTGTGAAACCAGCCTAGCAGTCAGGGAGATCATATCCCCTATTAAAGACGGATGTTTCTTGCTGGACACCCATCACAGGGGATTTTTCGCCTTCAGTCGCATTGCGCACCATGCTACGTTTTCAATAAAGCTTCTTTTTATCCCTCTGATTTCATTTTTAGTAAGTGTTGCTTACATTATTCATGTCCTTACGTATTGGGGATCTTACGGTATTAAATGTGTTCATTTGGAAAGCTTTTGTACAAAGTTATATTGAAAAAATCGTCTCGTCCTTAATTTTTGCACGCCAGTGTAAATATCGCCTTGAAATGCGTATTTAAATCTAAATAAAAAGATTTTGGGAATTGACAAGTAAAGCATTCTTATAAAAATTTTAAGTAAAGTTTACTGAAGATGACGGAATAATTTAATATAAAACATTACCTTTCTGTTACAAACTTTTGTTTTAGTTTCTATTCTATCCGAAAGATGGCAGCACCAAATAGGAATGAAAACGAATGTTATTTGGTCTGAAAATACGTAATGCATTTGCTATTTCTTTTTTATATAGTTTTTACTGTTTATTCAAATAACAGTATTTTAACATTTTCAATCAATATTTTTTATGAAGTATGTAACTCTAAAAGGGAAACTCCCTTTAGTATTCAAAATTCATATATTTGTTTCACCCTTGGGCTTAATGTTTAAAATTAAAATTGAAGGAACATTATTAAAGGGCATTACGAAAGCTAAACGAAATTAAAGAAATAAAATGGTAAACTGCGAGTTATAAATTGAATAAAATGTAAATAAATAAGTAAAAACTAATAGATCAAGCTAAAGTAATGACAAATAATTAAGACACAATAACACGCCGAACAACTAATTCAGAACTAACTGAATACTAATTCAGAAGTCAAACAACAAAAATCAGCGTTATATTTTTAAATATTCACAGGAATAGTTTCGATTGTTTTACCGAACCACCATCCTCAACTGCAAAAAGCGCAAAATGAAATATAAAATATGAAAGTATGAAAATATAACGCTGATTTTTGTTGTTTGACTTCTGAATTAGTAATGACAAATAGTTAAATAATGAACTAAAATATCAGAGCTCTTCTTATTTGGACTCCGACTGTATTTCGATCTCGTTCAAAGAGTGAGAGATACCGGAGGCGTAATGGCAGACCACACATTGAGTTGAACAGTGTTAAACGAATGTCGCATACTGCGCATGCCCAAAAAACAATTTGGCGTAATTACTATGTTGGCGCGATTTGAAAAGTAGATAAATACGGTATATGGTAATGTACCGCATCTTATTGTAAACAAATCTGGCGTTTTAAATCTTCGTAGAGTATAATGTAAATGTAAATTAATTACTGTGTTAAAAATACTATTTTTTGCTGTATTGCTCAAACAACTAGAAGCTGAAATTATTGCGAGTAATGTGAAGCAGTGTTTGCATTCAAAATGTAAAATATAATACCTATGAAATTCTGCACATTCCTTTGGAACTGTACAATTTTCGTTCAAAAAGACTGAAATTTAGGATATATTAGTTGAAAATTTATTCATTATAACTTTTAAGCAATAAAACACATTCAGGATTTACTATCGTCCTTCGTGCATAATAAAGAAACACTGAGGAATATAACAAGTGCTTGCAATAACATGAAGAATTTTACAATTCCTTAATGCTAGTTATTAATTCTTTGAAATGAGAAACAAAAGCGCGAATATATTGCTAACAAACTAAGCGAGATACTCCCATTTATAATTATTGAATTATAACATGTAACAAATTACATTTAATAACGAATTATTACGAACATATGTTACAAATAGTAATGCACTGTTATTGACAAATTACAGTGAAATATATATTAAGCAATGCAATCGGTATGACGTTTAAAATAACTAATAAGCAAGTTCCCAACATTACAGTTGTAAACATCATTCAAACACACTCGACAGCCATGGTGAGCACGAATAAGCTAGCGTAGGGTTGCTTAGTCGCCAATATTTCTCCCCGCGCCAAAGGTACACCATCAAGCATGCGCAGTAAGCGAAATTTGCTTAACATTGTTCAACTCAATGTGCGGTCTGCCATTACGCATACCAGATCCCGGCTCTCGCTGAATTTAACCCGTGGTTTTAACGAAATTTAGTACAGCAGAATGCAGGAAAGCGACGTGGAAGGAAATAAATCGTGAAACAGTGGAAATCAGTTTGAAAGCAAAAAATGTTAAACTCTGTAGAGGTCGTCATTTATTATACTATTGCGCTAAAAGGGTTTAACTGCTAAATTAAAAGTAAATCGTTCTAAAAAGAAAACATTTAGTAGAAAACTAAAGCACATTACTAAAGTACTTACTAAACTAAAACTAAGTAAAGCACAAACTAAAGTACTAACTAACTAAAGCACAAACTAAAGTACATTTAGTAGCATCGTTCTAAGAAGAAAACATTTTAAAAATAATGAGGAAATACATCGTATAATATAATAATAAATAAAATATAACAGACTTTATATTAAATCGCTGAAGAGAAAAGAAGCGAAATTAATAATAAAACATAATACTAACTGTGAAGGACATGTTAAAATTTTCCATTAAGTTTTCTTCTTTCGATACAACATTGAATACCCTGTATATTTAGGAACACTCTCTATCTTTTTAATATGTTTAGCGTGTCATTTAGAAAAGATTGTTGAGGATTATAAATGCTGATTAGATATTCGATGTTCTCACAGTTGTATCTTGAACAATATTAGCATGTTACTCTTTTCATAATTCGACCTACTGAGTATTTTATGCAGTTTTAATCTTAAAGCTTTGTATATACTAATAAAGTAAATGTACTTTTATTAATAATTTATAGTTACAAGAAATGTTTTTAAAAAAATCTCAGGTTTTTTATATTGTAATGCATATTTTTGTCTAATGTTGTTATTTTTTATTTATTTGTTTACTTTCTAATCTGAAATGAAGGGTTAATTGAGCTCATGCGAATAATGACGTCAGTCCCCTTCCCCTTGCACACACAGAGAAATTAAGATTTCTGTGAAATAAACAGAAGCCAACAGGAATTAAAATTAAGCTCGGATTTAGATATTATTAGGATAAGGATTAAGAGAAATATAAGTAAAGTAATCATGCAATTTTTTGTAAATAAGAAAAGGAATACTAACCTTGAAATGAATTTATTTCCTTCAAAATAATCTTTAGAAATGTCTGCACAATTTTTCCAACGTTCGTCAGGTCAGACTAATCTTGGAACTAATCTTTCGTAGAACACGTGTAATATTTGATTTAAATATATCCGAGACGTTTTCAAATCTCCGTCCTTTCATGGCCATCTTAAGCTTCAAAGAAAGGAAAAAGTCAGCTGGCGATTAGTCGGGAGAATATGGTGAGTGATTTATTACTGCGATTAATAGCTTGTAAATATATTGTTGTACAGAGGCGTCGGCGTCGCATTATCGTGTAAAAGAAATCATTGTCTATAATCAAAAAGTTCTTTCCTAACTAGCCTTATCTTATTTCTTAATCGAAAAAGCACATCCTTCTTACTGATTAATTGATTGTTTTTCACCAAAGTCATGTTGATTAAGTCCTTGTAATCCAAAAATGCAATTAGCATCAACTTAGTCCCTGATTTTTATATCCGTCAAAACATCAAAAAGCATCAAAAATGATAAATTTTACCTTAAAATGGTATACTTAATAAGCACTATCCTTTTTCTGTATAAGTATTTTATCGCATTGAAATGATGCCTTTAAACGCACATCTCTTAATGTGATTTTAAATTTCAGTTTTAATATCTAAATAATGGTAGATGAGCAAATTTTAAATCTGAGATATTTTATTTTACTAAAGAACCACCAACGTATGTTGACCATTTTGTTGTAGAGATGGTATATAAAATACTTAGCCTAAAATGCAGAGGGACAGGTCAGTAAAGCTCATCCTGTTACATCACCTTGTTTAGCTACAGCAGGCAATGTCATTAACAAATGCGAATTGTAGCCACCCAGTGGTTAGCCCAGTGGTCAGGGGAGCCGTCTGCGATACAAAAGGGCTCAGGCTCGAATCCTGGAAAAGGCATGGTTGTAACTGTCCGTATCTTCCATTGGAGAGTAAGGTGTCCCACGAGTTAGGTGCCTCAATCAAATATCCATAATAAAAGCCTTAGTAGTGGCCAAGGCGAAGCCGGCTGAAGGTCCGCCATTGGAAAAAAATATCGATTATTTTGAATTAAACAAAGTAATCCAATTTTATACCAATCAAAAAATACTTTTGGGAGGGGGTTATGATTTTCCCTCGGGATACATCAAATTAATGTTTAATTTTTAAGGACATACTTAGTTCCAAAGTAACCAGTTTTGTTCAATTAATAACATTTTCAATTTTTTCTCATTTCCATATCCTACCAGAATCATATTTCAGTTTTGTGCGTTATGCAAAGTAGGGTAAAAAGATACTATTTCAGCTGATATCTGAGTTAATTCAGGCAGAATGCGATCTGCCTTTCGGCCACGTTGTTTCGCTGATATTTAAGCTTGTTATTTTACGGTCGTGCATATCAGTTGCCCGTTTCCCTGCGTCAGTGGTAGCGCTAAGTTCTCTGCAGCTTCGGCAAATTATTTAAAATAGGCTTAGTTTTAATTTTATATTTCTAGTTTGAGCTACAGCCAAAGGTACTGGCTAGGTGTGTAAGCACCAGCAGTTCCATCTGTAAATTCGTTCATGAGTTGGAAAATAAATAAATAAAAAAGAAAATCTGAAAGGTTTCAGATTTTAAATTACGTCCGAAGGGAGTGTTTTTTAACATTTTGTCTGTTACCTTTATTTATTAAATGTCACGTTCTTCGCACTTAAACCATAAAATTCAGTTCAAGAGGAATATCGCAAAATAGTTTTAAATTGAGCATATCTTTAAAATGTCCGATACGCAGTCTCACGAGCTGGAGATAAAAATGATTTTTCGGTGCAACGTTGCCATTGCTCGCTTTGAAATCCTTGAGTTTGTTAATCAAAAATTCGTTTTAAAGATTTACAAAATATGAAATCGATCATTAAACAAATTCCAAATTTGGGCTTCCACATTCCACATTTCCACACAACATACCATATTCGCAGTAGGATTACGTCATTCAAAATTCGATGGCTCTATGTACCGTTGTTTTATCACAATACGAGAAATATACATATAATTTATGTAGATTTTTCATTATTTAATTTCTTCAAATATAATGCAGGACTCTAACATTTGGTAGCAACAGTTTGAAAAGTGAAACGGACATTTAGAGTGAAATACCGCAAAATCTCAAAACGAAAACAATAGTTCTTCAGGGACAAAGCCCCTTAGGAAATGTATTTTCCTCCTCGTACGACTTGCCATTCATACAGTTTGAACTTAGCGAATAGACCCTTCATTGTTCAGGTAAATTTCTAGCCAATAAGTAAAGTTAATTTAGCTAGAATCTTACATCTATCCAAATTAGATGCTCTATAGGAGATCCTATAGCCACAGATACATGGAGTCTGTGGTATATTTCGTTCGATCTTCAGAGGTTATTTTCTCTCCTCACAAGAGCGAATGAAAATGTGCCTTGCTCATTTAGCGTCCTGATTAGTCAGATATCAGTTACTACTATTTTTAATTGGGGTGGGTGTTATGAAAGGACGGCACTGCCTTACGACCTTTTAAATGCTAAATTAACATTGTAGAGTCGTTAGGATTATTTTTTTTAGGAGTAGAACAGATGAAAAATATGCAACCGCTTTCGCCGGGAATCGAACCATGGACCTTTAGAATACCGGCCCAGCGTGCTACCGTTACACCACGAAGGCACGCTAGGGAAGTGGGAGAAATACCTTATATACTTCTCTTTTTAAAGGGCGACTAGGGTTTTAGGGGACCTAGTCGCTAAATCCTGGGTGTGGAGAATCATCATTCACAACCCTTTTAGTTCGGGCACCACTTGTAGAGTGATTAGGATTTTTTTTAGAAGCAGAAAAGATGAAAAATATGCAACCGCCTTCGCCGGGAATCGAACCACGGACCTCTGGAATACCGGCCCAGCGTGCTACCGTTACACCACGAAGGCACGCTAGGGAAGTGGGAGAAATACCATGAAGCATTATCCATTTTCTCGCTGTCACATCTGATAAACTTTATCGTGTAATCAAAATTGAATGTGATGGACACTGATAAACATATTCCAAATAAACTCCTTGCTATAATTATTTGTAACAGGACTATTATTTTCGAATTTCGCTGCCTATCTTTAATCAAATATTAATTAAATAAAATATGTGTCCTTTAACAATAGTAATTGCTTAATATTTTAATACCGCAGAATCTGAGGAAGCAAATATAACTGCTGAATCTTTGGACATTATTAAACAGCACAAGCTCGTCCAGAAGATTACCAACAGACTTGAGAAAGAGCTACAGGCACTTAAGAAGAAGCAAGAAAGGGCAAGTGTTCTGTTTTGTTTATTTTTTCTTTAAAAATACGTTATGTATTTCTCTAAAAAGGTATCTCCGAAGAAAAAAAAAGAAAGAATGATATTAGTACTAAAATCCTCTTTACGCTATTTATCAGTTTAGTATTCAAGCACGTTTAATGCGATTTTACTAGCAGGGTTTTATTTCTGAATTCTAAAGAAAAATTTCATTCTGTCTTTTTCGAAATGATTGTTATACGCCTGATTTGTGAAATTTTGTTTGTATCAAGTAATGTTTAAATATTTATGAATAAATTAAATTAGATATATCTGTTCTATTTCATACTGAATTACTATTCTTGCAGCTACAATTTTTCTCTTGTATGTTGTACGGAAGACTAAAATACAATTACTTGAATTAAAGTACTACATTCATATATATAGAAACATAAACCTATGTAGTATTTGGATACGCGGCATCATAATGATATTTATGCCCGTGCGATATGAAATAAATGTATTGAACCCAAGGCTGAAACACAACCTGTTCATTTTAAATATATGTATTAAAAATATGTCCATTTCATGAAGTGATTAAATGTTAGCAGAAACATTTAAATTTGTATCAACATAATGTTACGCTATTTTCTTCCTTCACGTTCCTACTGGGGTTCGTGGGGATTTGGAATGAATAACGACGACAGCACTTGATGGAATATCGAAACACACTTTATTGGCCGGTATTAATCAGAACAACTCCAAAGTCACGTTTTACAGTCGTCGAAGATCTACTATAAACTCGCTGGAACAATCAGCGACACAGCTTTCAGGTTATCAGGCCATAACGGTGGAGACAGCTTCACTGCAAAACACCAGAGTACAGCTTCCGACTCTGCTCGATCGTTCTCGGAACTCCACGTACTCTCGAGACTCTCCACGCTACAACTCGCGATGCACTCGACGACACACAGAGCACAGCTTCCGACTCTTCGGTTCAGTCATTCCGGGAGCTCAACACACTCTCTCGATTATGTACTAACCGCGATGCACTTGACGATCCACTCGGCACTGGCTGCCCGGCTGTCAACTCGTTCGACTCCGCACGGACTGACTAGCTGGAGACACTAACTAACTGACTTTCTCTCCGCGTACCAGCAGGGTTTATATAGCTTTTGACTTGTGTTCGAAAACATTCTGGGCTAAACCGGTAAGAATTCGTTCCAGAAGGTTCTCCATCCGTCCATGGCATATCGCCAATTTTGTCGCCAAATGGACGATGCCTCGCCACCTGCCTTTCCTTGCCATTTTATGGCAACCCTAAACTTCCTTGCGGGAAAGCTACCTTACCGCTCCTTGACATTTTGTAACACAACACATAAATAATATATCGCGAGAATATAAGGTGGTATGACATAAGAAGCTGATACTGGATTTTTAAAGGTGTTTTAGAAGGAAAAGTGAGAGGATGGATTAATCAATCTCACATATATGATTCTGGTTTCAATCTGTTCAAAAAGAAAGGTAACTAAATTATTTAAACATTATAATTTGAACTAACGAAAAAGTCATAAATCATATCACTATTACTTCATATATAAAAATATTTAAATATATTTTTATATATGAAGCAGCATAATATTTTAAAAGGAGGAGGATATCATCTTAATTAATGCCTATTTTATACCCAGAACATTAATAATATTATTGCCTATATATATATCCAGAATATTAATTACATTAATGCCTATATATATCCAGAATCATTTATTTTAATAATCTTATTTAAATTATTATTTAGTTTTTGTTCCTGCCTTAAACGGAGATTAAATGATCAGCGTAGATTTTTGTGCTTGTACAGCTTTTATATTAAAATAAAATACAGATTGTTAAAATACATTTTCTACATGTCATGAACAGATGCAAAACAAATGGAAAGATGCGTTAAAACAGAGTAACAATCGTAATCCTAAACAGTTTGAGTAGCAACTTTTACAGAGAAACGCAAATGATCAGAATCTATAATTATTCAAAAACAGGCTAGTCTAGATGGATAAAGATGGAAAACGTCCGTAGTGAGAAATCCATATTATCATTATGATGCTGTCATTTTCTAGAAACTGCTTCAAGATTAATTAAAAGTAAGATGAATTACTCAGATTAAGTATAATACAAATCCCTTAAGGTAAATATTTTAAAGAATTGATCCCGAACCATTCTTATTTTAATCATTTAAATTATTACACAATTTTTGTTACTGCTTGAAATGCAGATTAAATGATCAGCGTAGACTTTTGTACTTTTAGTACTGAATTATCTTTTTTGATATATGCAGGGTATTTTGAAACTCATGGGCAAAAATTTAAGCGGTGATAAAGATGCCTATTAGAAATGCTTCACGAATAAAGGTGCATTCATTGGTAAATAATATATGCGCGCTGAAATCAGGCTGCACTGTTAGCTGTTGCAAAAACCAAAGTGTAGACTCGACACTGGAGGCATAATCTGTAGATATCAAGGCTTGCATTTTCTGTACATGGTAGGGATGTAATCCTTCGTCCTGTAATACTCGCCAAAGAACTGAGAGGACACATTTAGGGCAGGGGAAACCTCTTGCATGATATCCGGACGATATTCCACACTTTGCAGAATCTCCTCTGTAACTTATGGCGTGGCAGGGATGTGGCACATTCCTGCCACGCCTGTATCATGCACACCTGTATCATGTATGTGCTGTATATATATGTATGTGCCTGTATCATGCACACCGACGGCAAAGAATCCCGCTTCACACAGGCATCGATGCAATCGCTCGAAATGTTTTCGCCCTCCCACGTGTCTTCTCGGGATATGCTGCCTGTACAGTCTTTCGGCTTCCAAAACATTCCATATATAAAATGCATGTCCGTCTTTTTCTGATTACTGTACGTCGACATGCCTTTTGAAATCCAAGCTAGGATTGACGAGGTCTAAGAAGACTCACGCTTTATGCTTTCCATTACAGCGCCGCCTGGCGGTTAACCACTTACTCTCCGCCCATGCACTCTATGGTGAAAACTGCTTGTTTATATGTTTTCTATCATTCCTTAAATTTTTGCTTATTTGAGTTTCAAAATACGTATAGACCTTTAAGAAAGCGAAACACAATTTTCATCTCTTAGATACATGCATAATTAATTCAAATTTTATTTATAACCATGTTTCATATGCACCATAGTGGCCGCCCAGATAGTATAGTGGTTAGCGGAGCCTTCTGTGGCACCGTAGGATCCGGGTTCGAATCCCGAAGAAAGCATATGGATGTTTGTAAATGTATAGTGCCTTTGCGGTATTACATTTACAATGTATGGCGAGCCGAAAGTCCTCTCTTGTGGTTTTCCAACGTTTTTGAGGCTCTGGCAACCAATCTTCCATGAAATAGGGACTCGACAACAACAACCTCGCACCACAGCATCATAGTTTCCAGATTGGAACGTCAGCTGTTTGTTTCTTGCTTAGCTTATATATTAAACATAAAGTATAGATTTCCTTTGTGAAGGAGTATGGTAACGAAAACTTACTGTGAGTTTAACAAATTCATCATCATGGAAACAATATGCATAAGGAAACCAAAAAGCATTCAATATGGTCATGGCATGATACTGACAAAGGCTGCTAAAAAATCAGAGAATTAATTATTGATCGGAATATAAATATATTCTGTGAATGTGAAGATTAAGATTATAGGACATTAAAAGCTTGATAGCAAAGCCCAAACAAGATGATATAAAATTAAGATGCAGTGCTGATATTAGGACATCAATTTCTGATGACTATATGTGACTTCCGTCCAACATGCCTGACACAGTAGTGATAAGAGAGCTCAGTTCAAAACAATGCAGCTCCATCTATTCATAAATTTCAGTAAAGCTCGTTGCTTATTACGCATTACAACCATTATTTTAACACACACTTATTTTTTAACGCAAAGGAGCAATAAATTCATCACTGCTTTAAGTTGCTATCTGCTATATGTATTTCAATTACAAATCAGTTTGATGAATGAAAACTTACACTTCAATGCAGAATGTAATAAGTGTAAAAATACTGAACTCTTTATACTTTATTTTGTCTACTGCGCATTGGGCGAAACTGGTCTTTGCCCGAAACTGGTACCTTTATCACATTTTCTGCATGAATTCAATATTCCTTAAAGCTCAAATTATTCAGTAGTTTAATGAACGTAAAATAAAACAAACAGGACTAAAGTATATATCTCTATACGAATTTATTCATAAACATTAAAGAAACGAAACTGAAGATTTTTTATTTCATTTCCTTCCATTCTTGTTATAGATCCGTGAACGAGAAATGGACATCCTGCAAGCGAAAGAAGCGAAACTGCTGCGGAGTCAAGAACATACTAATATCCGGACGCATAATAGGTTCGTCAGAAAGTTTTATTCTCCGTAAGTACTACTTGCACTACTGAACCCTCTTGCATGAGTCCAGGCACGGTAACCCACCCTTTTCTTTTCTCTATATTAAATATTAATTTAATAATTTGTGAACAAGATTCGTTATTGATTCTCGTGTGGAGTGATTAATTTACGGTGAAATGTGAAGCGTTTAATTGTCAAGTGTCATATTATATGAATACTGAAAATATAAATTCAGAATGGCCGCAATGGGTGTTATGTTCGCTTTATTCAAATGCATGTTTTATGGAATAATTCATATTTCAAATAAAACTTCATTTATTTGATTTTTGAATGTGGAAAATTTTAATTTTGTGCATACATTTTTAAAATAAAAAAAATAATTTTACTAATATTCTTTTAAACCTAACGAAAATACTTTTCCTGCATCTTGCTCTCAACCGTTTTCGATTCCTCCCTGCATTTATCTTGTATATGATTTATTTTAGTCTTTGAATCTCTTACATATAATTTACTTCATTCTATTTTTTATACTTTAAAAATGATGCCTGTTACTTAAAATTCCAGTTTTTCTTTCTTTGTTCTAAAAATGCATCATCAGCAAATCATGGATTAGTGTATGCTTCATACTTTCAATGGCCACTTGATAGAAATTTTTGCACTGTACTTTAGATTTATTATATTCAGTATATTGATCTAAAGAAGAAAGTAGGCATATCATGCAAGTTATTGATCAAATTTCATGAATCACTACTTTATACTCATATAATTTTAAATTCTATTTGTTGTTGTTTTTGTCTTGTTCAAGACATCAGTGCAGAGGATTCAAATAGGGCCAAAAGTATCCAGAACAGCAAATTCTATTTAACTATAAGAAATGTAACTTCGTTTTAAAATATTTAAACTTTTATAATATTTTAACATAAAATTGCATATTATTGTGTAGCTGAAATTAATTTTTGCGGTATCATTTGACTTTTATTCATACATACCATATTAACACTGAAAATTCCGGGAATGACAGGGTTAAAGCTCGAGTAAAAAGTATATTAACATTATTTTCCACGGATATTTCTCTATCTGCAAAAGCTACGAAATACAATAATGATTTCAAATTATTACGGATTCAAAAATAATTTAAAGGATAATGATAGTAAAATTCACTAACCTATAAGTCACCATGAATGTCAAAGTGTTAGGCAAGACAGTAAGGAAGGGTTCACTAATCATATCATCTGGAATTATCCTCTTGGAAGATAGAGTTGATTCGTGACGGCTTTGTTACAGAATTTTTCCAGTGGCTAGTCAGAAGATGTCAGGTGCTTCCCAGTGACATTACGTACATATTCGACAAGTGAAGTTTGATGTGAACGGAAAGCAAGAAAGACTGAAACAATGCAAAAAACTGAACTGCACTATGGCTGTGAGTTATTAAAAGAAGCGGAATTTTGGAATATCCCAAGTAGGGTAGTAAAAATAATTAATAATAATATCTGAAAATATCTTTTCGCAATCATATTTTTAAAAAAGTAAAAGCTAAATGTAATCGATGTTCGTCTTTAATGACTATCCACAATACCTTCTTCTCACTTGAAGCTCTAAGATGTATGCGAGATCACAGCTGTTACTAATCTGTCTCATCACAAAAACTTGTTCATCATTGTTGCCAAACAGAAATGACTTTTCATTCACACAAACGACCCTTCTGTTCACTTATAGGCATTTTCTTTGCATCACGGAAGAAGTTTTTCAATAATGCAAAGAGTCAATGGAAATCATTTAGAGGGAAATGCATATTCAAGTACACTTCCTTTGGTGGATATAGGATTGTGGTGATGGAAAAGGAAAGAGAAAGAAATGGTGATACAGTATTTGAAATCTATCAGATTATTATCTAGTAGTTCCTTATTTACTGTGATAAATCGAAATTATGCTAAGTTGGAATACATTTCAATAACATAAAATTCGTCGAGAATATACTGTTTTGCACAAGTTAATTAGTATAACATAGCATGGAAATATGATTAACACTTCTACTTCTAACGGTTAAAATTAAGCACAAAATAAGAATAATGGATTCCGTTTACTGTGTGATCTTATTCTTTTAACCCTTTTTCTTCATTGCATTTCTATTCTTTGAAGTCTTCTTTTCTAGTCTTCGCTTTTCTATTCTGATTGTACTGAAAGGAGTGCCACTGAAAATGCAAATTTAACTTTATTAGGAAGCTAAAATGTGCTCTAAATCCCTCTGCATTATATATAATATGTCTAATATTTGTTATAATTTCACACGGGAATTTCAGAAGAGAAAATGAAGTATTCTAATATGCAGCTTTAACGAACTTAAAAATTTAGAGTTTAGGTTTAGATTTCATATTTTCATTTGGCTGTTCTTCCTTCCAAATAATGTTAAATGAAAACTGTCAAGAGTAATTTTCACAAATATTTTCCTTTTGCAGGTGTTGGAATCCTCGACGACAGTCGAAGCGAGTCGGTGAAGTAGATAGTCAGATCATTCCTCCTGAACAACGAGCAAAGGTATGGATTTTTTTTTTCACTTTTTCTCGAAATTTAGAATGCATAGGACGATCAAATATGAGTCTTTATCTCTATGTGATTGATCAGTTCAAGTCGTTAGGTTGGGTTGTTGTCTAGAATAAGGAAACCAAACCAGTTTTTTTTTTTTAATTTTTTATTTCATGCTTACATTAAAACTGTGTTTTCACGCAATCTATTTTACAGTTAATATTAGAAAAATATTTCTTTAAGTAAGAATTCTTAATCTTCTTTCTTAATGTTTCTTTCTTTCTTTTATTTTCTCTTTCTATAAAAATTATTTCTTTCATGAAAAGAAATAAAAGTCATTCCTTCATTGCAGTATGGCCGATTGTTGCTGAATTCGGCTATCACACATGCATCAAAATGTTTTATTTTAAATAATTTATCCTATAATTAACATGATAGAAAATAATTTTTCAATGTAAAATATATAACCAAAATTAAAATAATCTATTCTGTATGTGTGATTAATTTGTATTGCAATTTTTGTCATACATATATTAGTAATACTTTGTTTAATATTACATTGTTCTATTTTAATTTCTTATGCTTATGCTTAGTGCTTATTTTAAATATTCTTCCTTCTCAAAAGATTTTATAATGTCAAAATAATTAAAAGATAGTAATATTATTTTCACAATGGAGGTACTCAAGTAAAAATAATCAATGTAGGTCACCTGCAGTTGAAGAAGTCCTTGTCAAACCAACGTTTTAACACTTTGACACATTAAATAGAAAACTGTAATAATAATCGATTCTTTTTTTCTGTTATTTTTCTTATGTTTTTTTAGTCCAAAGGGATTTGAATCCCGAAGGACTATTAGTTTCGTTTTGGCATTTTGCGTCGGACTCATAAATGTCGGTTCACTTTTCAAACTGTTGCCATAAAATGTTAGAGTCCTGCATTATATTTGAAGAAATTAAATAATGAAAATCTGCGTAAATGTATGTATATTTCTCGCATTGTCATAAAATAACGGTACATAGAGTCATCGAATTTTGAATAACGTAATCCTCCAACGAATATGAGCATGTGGAAGACCAAATTTGAAATTTGAAATTTGTTTTATGATCGATTTCCTATTTTTTAAAACTTTGACGAATTTTTGATTAACAAACTCAAGGATTTCAAAGCGAGCAATGGCAACGTTGTGCAGAAAAAACATTTTTATCTCCAGCGCGTGAGTCTCTGTATCGGAAATTCTAAAGATATGCTCGTTTTAAAACTATTTTGCGATATTGCTGTTGCACTGGATCTTATGGTTTAAGTGCGAGGAACATGATATTTAATAAAGAAAGGTAACACACAAAATGTTAAAAAACGCCCCTTTGGACGTAATTTAAAATCTGAAACATTTCAGATTTTTTTTTTTTTTTTTTTTTTAGTCCAAAGGGATTTGAATCCCGAAGGACTATTAGTTTCGTTTTGGCATTTTGCGTCGGACGGATAAATGTCGGTTCACTTTTCAAACTGTTGCCACAAAATGTTAGAGTCCTGCATTATATTTGAAGAAATTAAATAATGAAAAATCTGCATAAATGTATGTATATTTCTCGTATTGTGATAAAACAACGGTACATAGAGTCATCGAATTTTGAATAACGTAATCCTCCAACGAATATGAGCATGTGGAAGACCAAATTTGAAATTTGAAATTTGTTTTATGATCGATTTCCTATTTTTTAAAACTTTGACGAATTTTTGATTAACAAACTCAAGGATTTCAAAGCGAGCAATGGCAACGTTGTGCAGAAAAAAATTTTTATCTCCAGCGCGTGAGTCTCTGTATCGGAAATTCTAAAGATATGCTCGTTTTAAAACTATTTTGCGATATTGCTGTTGCACTGGATCTTATGGTTTAAGTGCGAGGAACATGATATTTAATAAAGAAAGGTAACACAAAATGTTAAAAAAACGCCCCTTTGGACGTAATTTAAAATCTGAAACATTTCAGATTTTTTTTTTTTTTTTTTTTTTAGTCCAAAGGGATTTGAATCCCGAAGGACTATTAGTTTCGTTTTGGCATTTTGCGTCGGACGCATAAATGTCGGTTCACTTTTCAAACTGTTGCCATAAAATGTTAGAGTCCTGCATTATATTTGAAGAAATTAAATAATGAAAAATCTGCATAAATGTATGTATATTTCTCGTATTGTCATAAAACAACGGTACATAGAGTCATCGAATTTTGAATAACGTAATCCTCCAACGAATATGAGCATGTGGAAGACCAAATTTGAAATTTTTTTTTTATGATCGATTTCCTATTTTTTAAAACTTTGACGAATTTTTGATTAACAAGCTCAAGGATTTCAAAGCGAGCAATGGCAACGTTGTGCAGAAAAAAAATTTTTATCTCCAGCGCGTGAGTCTCTGTATCGGAAATTCTAAAGATATGCTCGTTTTAAAACTTTTTTGCGATATTGCTGTTGCACTGGATCTTATGGTTTAAGTGCGAGGAACATGATATTTAATAAAGAAAGGTAACACAAAATGTTAAAAAACGCCCCTTTGGACGTAATTTAAAATCTGAAAATTTCAGATTTTTTTTTTTTTTTTTTTTTTTTTTTTTTTTAGTCCAAAGGGATTTGAATCCCGAAGGACTATTAGTTTCGTTTTGGCATTTTGCGTTGGTCGGACTCATAAATGTCGGTTCACTTTTCAAACTGTTGCCATAAAATGTTAGAGTCCTGCATTATATTTGAAGAAATTAAATAATGAAAAATCTGCGTAAATGTATGTATATTTCTCGCATTGTGATAAAACAACGGTACATAGAGTCATCGAATTTTGAATAACGTAATCCTCCAACGAATATGAGCATGTGGAAGACCAAATTTGAAATTTGAAATTTGTTTTATGATCGATTTCTATTTTGTAAAACTTAACGACGAATTTTTTTAATACTAATAGATTACAAAAGTATCATTTCATGAAGAAATCCTCAGTCTTATAGCACTGTTACTTTATAACATAATACAATAATAATGCAGTATAATTCTACTTTATTAGTAGAATTATACTGCATTATTATTGTACTGCATTATTATTACGCTGGCGGTCTTATTGACCGCCAGCGGCCAAGCCGTAGAGTCGCTGAATGCAGGTAGTTCGGTTCGAGGTTCGAATCGCGCGAACTGGCTGGCCGCATCGGAGTTTTCGTGGGTTTCCCCATGTGCAGAGTGTATACGAAATACTTTTCCTCAGAAAGTCCTCCCTTAGAAACCAGCTTTAAATCGTTATAAAATTACACACATACAAAAAAAAATAAAATAAAATAAAATAAATAAGTAAATAAAATAAAATAAAAATTAAATAAAATAAAAAAATAAATAAAGAAATAAAGAAAAAATCTGAAATCTTTCGGATTTTATATTACGCCCAAAGGGCCATTTTTTTAACATTTTGCGTGTTACCCTTATTTATTAAATATCATGTTCTTCGCACTTAAACCATAAGATTCATTTCAACCGCAATATCGTATAATTTAAAAAGAGCATATCTTTAGAATTTCCTATACACCGTTTCGCGCTCTAGAGATGAAAATGCTTCCTTTCTTTCTTTCTTTTTTTTTTTTTTTTTTTTTTTTTTTAACTATTATTCCGTACAGTGTTGTCATTGCTCGCTTTGAAATCATTGAGTTTCTTAATCAAAAATTTAAAAATGCTTTACAAAATATGAAACAGATAATAAAACAAATTCCCAGTTCCGAATTTGGGCTTTCAGATGCCTATATTCGGGTGGAGGATTACGTTATTCAAAATTTACAATAGTACATAAATTTACATCGGTACCGTTGTTTTACCACAATGCAAAAACATTCATATATTTTTGAAGATTCCTCATTATTTAATTTCTTTAACTATAATACAGTGCGATAACATTTGGTGGCAACAGTTCGAAAAGTTAAAAGTCATTTATAGTGAAACGCCACAAAATGCCAAAACGCAATTAATAGCCCTTCTGGGCTAAGGCCCTTTGTGATAAAATTTATTTTTAAAAGTATCACACCACTAGTAGTACTATTACTGAAAAAATATTATAAAACTATAAAATAATTTTTTTAATATTTATATTTTATTTTACAGTAGTGTGAATTTCGCGTAATACTGAACGACATTCCTTATTGTGTTCACAATATTGTTCGTAAGGTATTCCATTGTTATAAAGTAAACTTATTTCTTGCTGTTCATAAATCGACTAGACGCTTCTCGGATGTCTATATTATTGTTAACTGAAGAAGTATTATATGCTAGATAACTACTTATTATCTTCTACTATTTTTAAACTATATAATTACAATATATATCTAAAATTTCTGGAAAAGTATAAATAACCTTTCTTTCAGTAGAAATTGCGTTCTTGTTTTCCGAATGTGGCTCCAAATACTCTCTCAGCTCATCGCAAATTAAAATAACTATAAATTTTGGCAATCTGAAATATGCAGTGAAAACATATTTTTCAGAGCAAAAGCATTAACATATTTTCTATAAATTCGCCGCCGATTCAGAAATCTGCGACCGTATTTTTCGTTTAAATACGAAAAAATTAGCAGTGAAAACAGATACAAAGCCATTGTCTACTTAGAACTAACTACACAAGCCTGATTGACTACGTGGCAACATTCCGACGATTCCCCGCGATTCCGACGACTTCCGTACTCACAGAATAGGGAATGTCGGGCAGACCTGTTTTTCATTCGCAGCGACATCTGGCGGCACACAAACTGCTGCCGACTCTCGCTGTTTCATCTAGTGGCCTTCACGATCAGTAAGAAGAATGGGCTAGTTTCTGTCAAGCAATGCATAATATTAGTTCTTCACCCATGAAAACGTAAAACCAGGCGAAATTTACCGCAGACTGCAGCTTCAGTTTGGTAAAAATGCTATGTCCTGGTCAAGCGTGAGGGTTGGGTGTAATGAAATAGAGGAAGACCTAAATATGTTGTAAATGTAAGCACATCCTAGTAGTCTTCGCTGACCAATGATCAGAAAGCTTTTATGACAGAACCTTTATGACTTAAATTATCAGCGATGACGAAACATAGATGCATTTAAAATCAATGCGTACAAGCATAATGTAGCGAAGGAAACACCGTAAAAGCCAAAACTCGATTGTTTGTGGGTCAAATGTTGACCTCGACGTTTTGAGGCTGGATTTTTCTTGTCCAAATCTCTTAAAGGAGCACTTGGGGACAAGCGATTTAAAACCATCAGTCAAGTGGAAGCATTCGTCCGCAACTCGTTAAATACTCGCCCAGCTTTATTGTACTAGAAAGGAATGAAAAAACTAGTAAAACATTGAGTGAAATGTATCATGGAATAAAAAGATTATGTAGCAAAATAATTTATAAAAATGTAGATCTTTCCTTAAGCATGTGTTTTTTAAATATTGGGGCTCGTTCATATTAAATCGACCCTCATATTTGATTATAACCCAAGCTTAGAGTTGAAGTGTTCAACACGTTATAGATAACGTTTAAGTTTAAATAATCATACCAAGCTAGATTATGTAAATTTGCTGTTCGAAATTTATTTCATCTATAGAACAACATGAATGAAGTGAATGAAAAAATAGAAAATTTTATGTTTTTAATTTCGTACTAAACCACAAGTCAACGTTTAAATTAATATAATTTAAAATCAGTTGTTAGGAACTGTATTGTACAGACTATTAGATTTTCTGAGGCTCGACGCATGATGAATCCATTGCGTCCTCTTCGGAATTCGAACCACGGATTTTCCAATTGCAAGCGGGATTTGTTAACGACTTGCACAACGAGAATATGCTCGGGCTAATATGATAATTTCATGGGCAATTAGTTAAACTTGACTTTCTACAAATGAAAATCGTATTAATGATGAATACGGTTTTGTTTTACCAAAATCATGATCACTTTGTTCCTCTATCACACTCCTACATTCTTTCTCTTCTATGAACACTAGATCTCTTGAATTAATAGGAACATAAATTTGTACCAATCAATTGACATACGAAATAAGTTTTACATGTTCACATCATCTCAAATATTACACATTTTGAAACATGAAAGCTTATACAGCTTTCAACAGCTTTCAACAGCTTTCATGTTTCAAAATTAACTGTATTGAGTTTCATATCGATAAAACCTCGTGGTTGTAAACTGAAAGTGCTCTTACTACGTGAGCAAAACGTGTAATTCAAAATAATGTACATATGTTTCTCGCTTGGCAAATGTTTGCTTATTCGAAAAATGTGCATTAGCACTTAATTCTTCTTTAAGAAAAGAGGCAAAAAAGCAATTGTAGAGTTACAGAATTTAACTTTTAATCATGCATGGGTTTAGGCCAGATTTGCAGGATACTTATTATATAGAATATTATAATAAGAACATCCTTGTAAGTAAAACAACACGTTTTAGTTATATTACTCACAGCAAGCAATAAGCTTTTACTTTGACACTGTAGTTGATAGCCAGAGAACGTGTAGTAACTGCTACTTTTTCTGCTTGACGGTTGAGGAAAGGACGAAATAAAATTAGGTCATTTTATAAATAATCTAATTTTTTATACTTCTTTAATTTTTCAAAATTAGGATAAATAAAGTTCATTTTTAATCTAAAAGACACTCTTCTTCATCTTCTACTAGTTCCTCCAATTACTGTGGAATTTTGCTCGACAAGGGTTTGCAGGGTGCCTTCGTCAATCTACAGGTCTTTCAGGAAGGAGTTCATCTTATAGGCTATAGTGTCTGGTGCATTCAGGCAGCAGAATGATAACCCAATAATATGACCTACATTTTTACATTACCAGGTCCAGTTTTCAAAACCTTCCACTAACTCAACTTATACTTGACACTACTTCATATATTTGAGGTCATGGTATTTCTGGCTAAGTAAAATTAGCTGCTGTTATGCTATTTCTGGCTAAGTAAAATTATTTTGTATCAATTGAAAATGATTTGTGTTAAATGAAAATGATACAATACTTTTTACAACTAAGATGTGTATTTAACATATGATGCATGTTTTTTAAATATATTATGTAGTGTTGTAGTTTGGTTTTTATACTATGTGATATAATTTGGGAAATTATTTTGTATCTTGTGAAGGTTCAAAAACTTTTCTTCTATAAATTGTGGTTACACATTCATTAATTTAAGGCGTTTTTATTTATGAAGAAATGCATTTCATAGAAATGGTTTATTGCAAGAGAGATCTGTATAAATCTTGAATGCATAAGTAGTACTACAAATCTACTCGAACTACCATAAATTGGCATTAGTAAGATTACTTCTAAAGTCGCTTAGTTATGAAGTTTTTTTCTTAATGAAAAACAATTCAAATACCTTTAAAAATTCATGATACGAAAATCAAGTCTATGTTTTTTTTTTCTAGTTGGACGAACTACGTAATAACTTTTCTCAAACTATGTTGGCCTTAACCAAAGAGCATTTACACTCCGAGATGGAGATTTATTCCAAATATCAAGAACCAGTAAGTACCAGTATCTCATAATATTTATAAAAACCATTTATGAAAAGCAAAAATTATTGATTTACTGTACAGTATATATAAAATCTCATGTTTGATTGTGCCGACTGAAAATACATAATTCACACTCCTATTTGTAAAAATGGAAAAACCCTTGATGAAATCATGCAGATTAATTGAAATTTACAGCAAATGCAAAACAGGGTATAATATGCAAACGCTTAGAATTTCAGGATAATAGCGCATGCGTGATCTGGAGTTTCTTCTGAAGTGTCGCACTAACCGTATAATAAAATGGTGTAGCGAAACGATAGAGTTTCATTATCTGGCTGAAGTAACTTCTTTTATGAGTCACTACGTCTCGTCGACGACAAAGGATCCAAGGTACGCCGTGTGAACGGAGGAGAATGACTGGTCATTGAGAAGGACTTTTTTATGTTCCTAAATCGTCGTACAGTTTTTATAAACAAAAATATATGTATTATTTAATGAGATTCCCAACTGAAATCTCACGGCTTTTCCTATTTCGTTACTTATTACAATTTTTAATAATTTTATCTCTTTTTGAATTTCTATAAAGAAATTTATATTTCGCTGGATTATTCCCTTATTAACACGGAATATTAAACAAAGGTTTCCGATTTATTAGTCGTCCAGATCTTCAAATGGCTTTAATTTATTATATTATATGCCCCAAACTTAGCTTCCTTTGACACTAAACAATCAGTTATTTCTAGAAGTTTGGCCTTGAGATTAATTGCAGCTTTTTAATATTTTTTATAATACTTCTTTTTAATAATAATTCTTTTTAATATTCAGGAGCATTCTCAAGCTTTAGACAGAAGACCGTCAACGGGACAGCCGCACCATCATTACAACTTTCAGCAATAGACGCTCAATCTCAAGTTTTAGACACTAGTATAAGTAGTTATAATTCCTTGAATTCAAAATAATTGCATAAACGGAAATTCCTATATTAATAACTTCCATTTATGCAATTCGCATATTCTGGAGAACTGGAATATAATTAAAATAAAAAGTGGCAAAAATTTAACAATAATGTGAATATTTAACAAAAATAAAAATGAAACTTAGAGCTTCAATTTGCTTTTCGATAGTAATTTAATAGTGCATTGCATTAATGTAGCCATATACTAGTTCATTATTATCACATGAGTAACATTATAATAATGAACTATTATATGGATACATTTCGAGAGCTATTATATGGATATATTTTCGAGTTCTTGACGCGTTTCGTAATGCCTGATAACGAACACTGCTGGTTAAATTGCATTAAGGAAATGGCTGGCAAAAATAATTTTATTCACTTTCAGAAAAAATGGTTTTTACCATGTTCCAGGTATATTTAAGCATCAGAAAGCAGACATGAAATAAGCTATTTCTTTTAATTCCATGCTTCGGGAAACATACATGTAACCTTATGAGATCGTAAAACAGAAACATGTCGTTAAAATTACCAAATGTTTAAGTAAAAAGAAAAAAAAAATAAAACCTTTTTCCATCTTTAAATCTCCCACTTAACTAGTTAGATCTGTGCTGATAATTTGATGATGAAATTTTTTAAGTTTTAAGTTAAGGCTTCTGTGTTAAAGTTGCTGATAAGTATATGCGTTTTAGATTCTTCAATTTCTTTATTAAGTTAGAATTTATGAGTTTGAATTGTGAGAGAGCGAAATTTATTCTGATTGCATTTCTTAAGCTGAAAATTCTAAGTGCAGTTTTACTGTGTGAAATACTTTTACTCTGTGAACATATTTGATACTTGTATACTAAATAATGTAAATTTTCCTCTTCCTTTTCGGAGACGACAGAGAATAAAGAAAGCCTTCCTTTGAAAAGCAGACAAAGAAATTTTTATCGATTTTAAAATTTAAAAATATTAAATTCAAAAGATACCTAATTTTCAGCAAGGTTTTTCTTAAATTTGAGCAACATTAAAAAAAATAGTTGTAAAAATGTCATTTTTTGGTCAATGTTTACATATGACCTCTATCAAAATACGACCTTGCATCATAACATATTCTTCCGGCGGCATGGGTTTAGACGTTGTCCATTCCTGACGCACGAGAAACGGCTTCTTTTGCTTCCCTACCAGAGTCCACTATTTTGATTCTTTGTTGAAAAGAATACATCTTATCTCCTTCATATGTCTTTACGGCTTTTGTGGCGACAATGGGAACATTCTACAATGGTCGCAATAGATTTGTTTGTTACTTTAAAACAAGGCTATTTTCGCCACCGATTTGACTCGTAACCATAGGAACTACAGCTGCGGAAAAAAAAGGGGCAATCACTTAAAATTTTCCCCCACTTCATTTCCGTTTAGCTTGTTTCTATTCATGAAGAGCATGCGAATGAAGACTGATTTGAACAACAACCTTAGGTGACGTGGAGAAAATAAATGTTGCAGGATGATGCTGACACGAATTACAATGGCAAATGGGGAGAGGCTAGAAACGGCCTTGAAGTGCCTATTTTAAAGTAACTGGCTATAGCATCTGTCTGCACCATAAAGGTAAATAAAACATCATTAGATACGAAAACTGAGCCTCCATTGCTATTTTGCATGATTAATGGATGAACACTGATATATTTTTGATGCATCAGCTCTTTCTGAACATTTAATCATGCAGCAAGAAATCATTTTATCGCTTTTAATTAAAAAATATCGAAAATAGTGTTGAGAGTGTCATTGACGTCTATAGTAACCCAATCCAACACGAGAGTGAAAGAGGACCGTAAAGACAGTGGGATGAGGCGAAAGCTGACTAGTTTCCGGCCTCCGAGATTAAACACGACGTCCGCTCCACCTGTGAGCATTATTCCTGTGGGCTTTTTTCCTAGAAACGGATAAAGCTCGTCAAAAGTACGTAGCTTTAAATAATCAATAAGTGTTCCTCATTGCAAATATTAGCGCATTATCCTCGACCCTATCAGAACACTGTATTGGAAGAAATATCATCTGTATCTTGTCATATGTCCGACTGAAGATTATATTGTGCACTTAATTCGAGCAATAAGTAAACATTATTATCTAAGGATGAGAAGTATACATTGGTGCAAAGAATTATCGAAAAAGTTACATTACAGAAATTTAGATCTATATTCAATAAATTATTTTTGTTTAGAGGAGAACAATTGTTACGTTTATTATTCAAGTATAATCAAGTTTTTCATAATACATTAATGAAAAATGCTAATAATAAAAGAAAATGAATAGAAAGAATGAAAAGATATGCTATAGAAATCAAGCTAATAATAAAAGTAAGTAAAAAAATATTCTTGATATATCATAAGAATACTTTGATTTTGCTAAAATTTTAAATGATGTTTTTACCAAATTTTAATTCGTTTAATTTTATCTTATGTAATTACTTAATTTGACTTATTTAATTTACTTGTCATAAAATTGAATTTGGAAAGTTTTCAGTTTGTTTTAAGAATAGTGTGCATAAATGTTATAAGTAATGTGAATAAAATCTATGAAGGCAAATTTTATTATAATTAATTTCTTAAATTATAATAAGACATAATATTTCATCAGAATTTTAATGTGCATTTCCCTGTATGTCACAAAGAAGATAACGAAGAAAGTTATTTTCATGAGATGAGCTCCATAGCAATCAATCTGTCTCTTAAAATTCTAGGATGGAACTTAAAAATTTCTGCCTAGTGACATATAAATCTGCTCTCTATTTTTTTGCATAATTTATATCATAAACTGTACTACGTTTTTGGTAGTATGGATGAAATATTATGAAGTAAGTATTTTAATGCAGAAGAAATAAGGGATTATGTAACTTAAACAGTCTTCATAAAATTTCTAATTTTTTAAATATCGGATGGAATTTATACTTCCATTAATGTTCATGTTTCGTGAAATAATATTTTGCCTTTTTCTCCTTAAGTGTAGAAAATAATTATAGAAATTTTGGTATTTTATTTTTCTTTAAAGTATTTTTCTGTAGTATTGTGCATTAACACGTAAGGCATATTGAGTACATTTCCTCTATTTTTCCTCTATTTTAATCAAAGAATCATAAGTCAAAATAACTACGAAATCTTTATTTAACAAGTATGAGAATTCTGTTTAACGTAAGTAGAACACCAATTAAAATAACACTCTTCACATTAAAAATTAAAAATTTAAGTACTGAAAAGAATAACTTACATAGAATTATCATCAGGCTTACCTATTTAGGCAATGAAAAAGAAACAAGAACATACTTTGACACAATACCTGAAAGAGAAAGCACTAATTGAATTAGACCTTTGGCCCAGATACAAGTAGCTAAGGTGAGAATCGAATGTCCCGACCTTCGCTTTCTTTCGCCAATATATATCTTGGCGCACGTTCGTTTTTTATGCTTTTGTGTTTCATTATGCAAAAATACCTAAATTTATGCTAACAGTTTCTGGTTAGTTATACCAGAAACTTGTTATGGTTGTTGTTGGATGATTTCCGAAAAAAATGCTACATTACATTTCCCTTCATTTTTTAGTTATTAATGTAGTAGTTATAAATTAATTATTAATGTTATATCCACATACAGTGTCATTTTACCATTTTACTACTGTTTCTTAAATTATCCATCCATATTTTAAGTAGCACAGAGGAACTAATTGCTTGAAATTATATCACCAGGCCCATCATTATTATTTAAAGGCATTTATTAATATCTTATTTATGCTTAATGGAGACTGCTAATGCTCCTAAAATTTAACTTTAACACGTCTAAGAAGCATTTTAATAGTGTGATCAAAATTTTTCATTTAATTGCAAAGTGGTGGTTTTCCTAATATGCTTAAAACAGTGTAAAACGCATACAGTTGCATGTAATCAGCAGTTTAACTGAGCTGATAAAAATGAGCTAGATTGGAAAGCTTATCGGAGAAATGGATTTTACTGGTCTTGCAGGTAGGGCTGCTTAGAGCCGTTCCATTACTTCTCACCTCCATGGTCTGTACACGCATAGGACCTTTAATGTTCCACCTTGTATATCGCTAAGGATATCTATGACAGCAAATCTGATGCACTACTTTTGTTCACATACTGAGGCATAATGCATTCGGGCAAACTGCCCCTGCCCTACTTTGAGATACTTTGAGATTTAACTCGTAAATACATGACAATCAAATAAATAACTCATATTTGTAATATTTAATTAATTTCTAACAGAATGAGCTACAATGTTAACATATTACCATAACCACTATGGAATAATAAATGAGAGACGAGGGCAAGCCGGTGTCATACAACAATTTGTACTTCCTTCTATTAAAAGTTTATTACTGTCAAAAGTTTGTATACTAAGGTTTGATAATTTTGGAATGCGTTAATAGTATTCTAAAGAGAAGATTTACGAGTTTCAAATTCTATGCAGTCTCTCAGTATCAAACAGCAACGAATCAAATCCAACCTGAAAAAACAATTTTTTTGTCTTAGTATTTTAAATAGCAAGATGAATTTTTTTTGTTCTTTTGGGTTAATTTTTTCACTAGCGTCAGCATTGAAATTTTTCATCATCATAGCACTTATGACGTAAATCCAATTCAAATTTTTTCTATACTTATCCTTAAGGCTATATCTATCCTTGCAACTGCTTTTAAAACAGTATGGAAATACTTCCTTTTTATTTGTACAAAATGGACCTTTTTCCTTCCGTGTTTCAGTTGTATTCTGCAATGGACAAAGCTATGCAATTAATGCAATCATCGCAAGTGGAGCGCTTGCAAAGTCTTCATGACAGGTAAAAGATTTATCTTTGAATACTTTCCTTTTTCCTTTTTAGGATTACGAATCAAGAAAAAGGTATCAGTCTTAAAGCCTAATGGTAACATGGCTTAATTTTATTGTTTAATTAACAGATCGCTATTGCGAATAAACGGAGCTAATTTCCAAATATTAATTTTTGTATCCTTTTAGGAAACTGGTATATTTTATCTATTGTAATGGAAAACCGGGGGTGCCATAATATCATTTTTAATCAAATCCTTATCGCATTGTTATTAAAAAAAAAAGAAAGGAACGAAGTAACACGTTGCAAGTACTGACGATTTTCGGGTTTTCTTCTCAGATTTTTCCTGCTTAATCATTTTCTTGGTTAACCGTTCTTTGTATATTAATGCGTAAAACTTATTGCGGCATCTTTCCAGATTCTTAATGTAAAAAAAAAAAATCTCCAGCGAAATCATAATTTTTCAGATGAGTCTCTTTTCGATTAGCTGTAGAAAGATTATTACGATTAGCCGTAGAACATCGAAATCTTGGAAATGAGTCTGCTATAACATCTAGTTGTGAACCTCCCTTTTATACTGTAATCGCAGTACCAAACGTATACATATATACCCACCCCCTTATTCTAGCTTTAAAGTCCGTACCTGGTCTGTATTTTTGTAATCATTGATCGCAGTCATATTATTCCGTCCGATGCTGATTAGCTTTAAATGACGAAAATATTCATGCCCTGATAATGTCAAATTTTAAAAAAATAATTTTCGACAAGTAATGAGATTTAAATTTTAATGCAATGTTGCAGTTCCTGTACTTATATTTGAGAAAGTTTTATATTCGTTATGAAAAACAAAATCTAAGAAGTTTGTCTTCCTTACAACAAAAATTGACGAGGATATTTAATTTCAAAATTTGGAATTTTAATGTCATTTTTCACTTACCTTGAGAGATCGGCGAATTACACTCATGTCCAAAATTATCTTTACATACCCAAAAATGATGATATTCAATGAAATATCGAATCAATGTGATCCGTATTTGCAGGGAATGTGTGAAAACCAAGCCTAATTAGCATTATCCAATCAAAAGTAATCAAACGGTTTGTGATATGCAAAATCTAGGGTTACGTCATCCAAAGGGTGAAATCAAACGCTTTGCGGAAACTGAATTTTGAGTGAATTTCTGCAACATAGCGTTTGATTTCAGTGTGTAGGACTCAAAGCGGTTTGTTATGGCTTCGAAGTATCATTTGGAAGAATCTGTAAAATGGCGAATTATCGGCCGTTTAGAAGCAGGGCAGTCAATCATGGAAATAGCCACATGTCTGAATATTTCAAGACAGACAGTCTCTAAGCTATGGAAACAGTTTCAAAATGATGGAAGTGTTGTAAGGAGGCCTGTACAAGGTCGGAAACGAATGATAACTGCTTCTGAAGATCGGTATCTGGCATTAACTGCCCGTCGTAACAGAAAGGCTCGCCAGTTAAGTTCAGAGCTTGCAGCCGCCACTGGAACTGTTGCATCACGGCAAACGATATACAGAAGGCTTAATGAAAAAGGCCTTTATGCCAGAAAGCCAAGGGTATGTGTTTTACTGTCTTCACAGAAAAAGAGGGATCGCTTTAATTGGTGTAAAGAACATCAGAACTGGACTGAACATCAATGGTCCCATGTTCTCTTTACTGATGAGTCGCGGTTTAGTTTAACTGGTGATTCTAAAACGTGTTTACATCTGGAGGGAGTCAGGAACACGAAATGATCCCTCGAACATTGTGGGAACGTGACCGTTTCGGGAGTGGAGTGTGATGGTATGGGGTGGGAACAAGGATCGATGGACGTACGCCCCTACACGTGTTCAGCAGCGGATCTGTGACAGGCCAGATATATCGAGATGAGGTCTTAGATCCTTATGTAAGACTTTTCAGGGGTGCATATGGACCTGACTTTTTATTTATGGATGATAATTCCCGTCCAGATCGAGCAAACCTCGTTGATGAATTCCTTGAAAGTGAAGACATTAAGCGAATACTTTGGCCACCAAACTCTCCTGACCCTAACCCGATAGAGAACTTATGAGACTACCTTGGAAGAGCAATTGCACGTATACATCCTCCTCCTAGAGATGTAAATGTTTTGAGGACGGCATTGCTGGAAGAGTGGAGATTAATTCCCCAAACTGTGGTTAACAACGTTATTTCCAGCCTTAAACACGTTGTGATATGTGTGTGTACAAATCAGGGGAGATCATATTCCATATTAAATTTGTAGACTTAATTCTTTTTCTGAATCATTCCTTTTTTTCTTAACGCTCTTTGTCACACTTTATTACCATTTTTATTGTTTCATACTACAATTTTATATCATATGAGGTGATCTTCAATTTTTTCTTTTGCATTTATGTGTCATCATGTTATGTATGATTCCACGAAAATTCATTAAATTATAAGTCATAGTCTCTGAGAAATCCGTGAATTTATGCATGTAAACATAATTTTGGACATGAGTGTATATTAGAATAATTCAAGGAAATAAGTTTAAATGACCTGCAATGAAAATGCGTATAATTTAATAGACCGTACAAGGAAGTCATGTGGTGTCCACACTATATTCTTTTAATTTGTATTTTTAAATTATTTTTATAAATTTTTTGAAAAAATAAATTTGTATCAGAACCAATAAAATTTTTACCCTCATCTTAAAGTTGATGTATATTTAGGTTTACCTGCAAAAAATTAGTTTTTTTATTCAAAATTTCCCAATTTAGTCGAGGGCTTTGAATCTTTAGTTGAGAGAGCTTCTAGCAATCACGTCTTTTTCAGACAGCTGTGTTTAAGAATTATATTCTGGCATTAGCATTCTCAGCTAGCCGATGCTTTAAATACGCGGGAGTAAAATATATGAGCCAGCTTATTCTATTTAATGCGTACTCTCAGACTGCGTTATCGACGTTCGAATTTCATTGTATTGTATTTCATTGTATGTTCTGTTAATTTAATATATCCACAGCGAGTTGCGATATAGTTGCCAAAATTTCGTCTGTAGTTCAAGTTGTGACTCTATGTTCGAATTGAGAGTAAAGTAAAAATGTTACTACACCTTCTTTATACTTGAGTTGTTCAAGACGTAGCGATAACGCGCTGTCTTTTCTGCAAGACTTTTAAATCTAGCTTCCAGATATAATAGCGATCCTATAGATTTTAATTTACTATTTGATTTGCAAATATTTTAAGCATTATTATATTCTCAAGCACAAACAGTAGAGTTTTGTTAACGCTTTAGCTCTTAAGGGGACTCGTACACCTTAAACCCCTCATGATCTTCGAATAGAGGACTGTTGCAAGAATTGGGGTATTTTATTTATCTTAAAAGCAATTACTTCCAACTTTTTACAGCTGATTACATAATATAGCTGCTTTGGAAACTAGTAACCAGAAAGTTTGCGTTGCCACAAATATTTTTGTAATTTAATCCTTTTTGTGACAAAAAAATTTCGCCATGTTTCCCCCTTGCGCGCATGATATTTTAAAAATGACTAATGGTACATATTTGAAATTGGATGGAATTCTTTATATGGGCACTATTTCCTAACTGAACCAACAATCTATGACTATTTTAATATGAAAAATTTTATGGACGAAAACATTACAAATTTGTTAATAAAATACATTTTATAAATTTCAACGCAAAATAAATAAAAATTTACATGAATTTTTAGAATTTTAGGTTCACAGTAGTTTCCAAATGTTATAAAAAGCTATATATTAAACATGGAATTAAATTATGAAACAGAATGTTTTAAACTGTGCGCGCAAGTTGGAACACGACGAAAAATGTTGTCCACAAACGGATTAAATTATAAAAATATTTGTGGCAACACAAACTTTCTGATTATTATTTCAGAAAGCAGCTATATTATGTAGTCAGCTGTAAAAAGTTGGTAGTAATTGCTTTTAAAATAAATACGTTATCCCAATTCTTGCAACAGTCACCTATTCGAACATCTTATGGGTTTTAAGGTGTATGAGTCCCCTTAAACTACCCAGTCGTAGAGCAAATGAACGTTGAGTTACTTTTGCTATAATTGTATTCACTTGGAATGTAAGCTAAATACGGGACAATTATTTCTTAGCGTTATTTACCGTGGAAAGATTAAATAGGTGTTTACATTAAGTGACATAAAGTTTATCTTACAAACTAGGGCGTCAAAATATTCCTGCAGTTTTAAATGTTTTGTTGAGAAACTCCTAAAATAGCTGAGAATTAAGCAGATGATTTTTACTCTTACGTAATTCATTCGGACACCGTTGTATCGCATGATAATCCCTCTTCCCCCTGGTCGCTTCGTAGAGCCGATTCATCCTGAAAATAAGTATGTATACAGGGTGTTTCATAGATCATGGGACAAGCTTGGAGGGGGGCGGAGCGTACTAAAACAGGCATTTTTTATAGGAATGTAGGGTCTAAAGTGACTGGTTAAGGCAGGAATGCAAAAAAACGACACGACAGAAAAATGTGTTTATGTACAAAATCAACGCAAAGAGCTTCTTTGTAGCAATACAGTATTCACAATAAATGTTCAAAATTGCGACCACAAGGAGTAATACGTGCTTGGTAACGTCGCAGAAGAGATTGACGAACATTTTGAAAAACGACAGGCATTTCGCGCACGCTTGCAGCCGCATGGCTAGTCGTGCAACGAGTCGCTCGAGGTGAGTCAACGGGAGTCTCGTAAATGATGCTTTTCAGATGGCCCCAAAAAAAAAAACCTCCAAGCTGGATAAATCTGGTGAACGGGTTGGCCATCGAACGGGTCCACCACGGCCAATCCATCTGGCCGGAAATGTCTCATCCAAGTAATTGCGGACCCACACGTGGTTATTTCTGGTGCATCATCATGCTGGAACCGATCACAAGCGACAACCGGTACGTCCTACAGCAATTCTGGTAGCACCTCTTGCGGAAAAATATGATAACATAAAGCCATTTGTACGTGCAGGTAAGAGATATGGGTCTATGAGGTACTCATTAACAATACCCGCCCACACATTCACGGAGAAGCGGGTTTGGAATGCATGTGGATTATGAGTTGCCCACACGTGCATGTTGTGGCTATTGAAGATGCCGTCCTGTGAGAAAGTTGCCGTCCTCGTCCGTGAAACAGCACAACATCCGATGGAAATCCCTGCGACACACTGCTGCAAAACCACCATGATAGAAATGAAACTCGAAGAGGGTAATCTGTCTCTTCCAAGGCTTGGAATCTCTGCAAATGAATGGGTGCAAATCATTTCATGCAATACTCTCCAAACGGTGGAATGACTCAGCTTGCAGACACATGCAATAGCTCTTGTACTTGTCTGAGGGATTCATGCACAATGTTCAAGATGGATTCTTCAGTGTGTTTGTCGTGTACTTCTTCCACTCCTAGTGCCAGAGGTGGCTTCAAATGACCGTTTCACACAGAGACCGATGCAACCTCTCGAACATTGTGTGCTTCGGCATACGCCTGTTCGGAAACCGTTCCGGGTACAAAACCGTTTTTAGTACGCTTTCTGCCGTTCCATTAGCAGCACCATGCATGAGGATGCTGTCAGCTTTTTCCCCTGTGCTTAACTCACCCAATACGCTCGACATCAGAGTTGCGAATGATCCTCTGATGCATCGGATCGTGGTTTGTCCAACTCACTACCGCCCTCTACTAACCGCGCATGTATGCCAGCCAATCATAGATGTAGTTCCTATTACTGTTAGTGTTACCTTTTTTAAACATTTATTGTGAATACTCTATTGCTGCAAAGAAGCACTTTGCGTTGATTTTGTACATAAACACATTTTCCTCTCGTGTCGTTTTTTTTTTTTTTTCGTTCTTGCTTGCCTTAACCAGTCACTTTAGACCCTACAAGCCTATGCAAAAGATGCATGTTTTAGTACGCTTCACCACCCCTCCAAGTTTGTCCCATGCTCTATGAAACACCCTGTATATAGTCATCCAGCGTGTTCTCTACATTTGTCTTTTTGCGATTATTTTCGCTTCACAAAACTAAAGCGCCTCTCTAAAGGCAAGTTTTTTCTGTCCTGAAAGAGATAAATGAGTGATACCTTATAATCTTAAGTGTCATGCCAGAAACAACAAACCTCTACTGAAAGAGTTCTCTTTAATTACCTGTCATACCTCTATTGACAGGAAGTTGCATCAGTATAAATTCTGCAATATTTCTATTTTTTAATGCACTTTGATTACTTAATTGTCAATATTGTCAAGATGGCCAAAACTTCGATTACTTGAACTTCCTTTAAATGAAATTTTTGACTGAATGATTGCTGGAATCGTAGATAAGTCAAACTGAATGTCGAAACGTACTACTCGAAACTGATACTGATTCAAAGAGGACTTTTTAATATTTGTTTTTTGAAGAGTGTATTCGTTCAATTTTAATATGTTAAAACTTAAATATATTTGAATTTTTTCCATAAAAAATGAAAATTTTATGTACGATTTACCTATATCGTATTATACTTTCAAACTAAGTATTTAAGAATATAATCTAAGTTGAAGAGTTTGGTTCTTTTGATCACATCTCCTCTTTTAATAAAAATATCTGTAATCTAAATTTTACATTAAGCTTGCTTCAAATAACATTTGTTTCTTCATATTGCGGGGTTGTCACCTATGAGGTGCTCAAGGCTCTTGCCAACGACAGGCGCATGTGACTCTTTGCCACAATGAATGTTGTGGGCTTGTACTGAACTTTTCAAACAAATGAGATTGGGAACAACAATACATACAATACATATAATTCTGTACTGTTATCTTTTTAACTAATAAAGATTAAATTTAATAATTATGATTACGAATTTTTCACTGACATTATACAAGAGTAAAGCTAGCTTGAAACATTATGTGTATTTTATTGCAACCAGAAATTTGTTTACTCTCCCCGTAGTAGTGTGATAAAATCTGACATCATTAATCAGAATAGTACTACAACAAAACATGAATAACTAATGTAAGTTATATAGATCGCATAAATTTTATCGCGGGAAGAAAAAGCGAAATTCGTGGATTTGTCACAGGATAAATAGTGAACTTTGCGAAATTTTCGTAGTTCATTATTTACTCTGTAAGGTTTATCTTAAACAGTTATCTTAAGTTAAAGCTACTTCCCTATCCCTTCTAATTTCAGCTTGCAAATTTCCTGCCAGAGCATGTTTTTAGAATCGCGGTTAAATGCAAATGTAGGAAGAGCAGTACTTAAGTCGAAGTTCCACTGACTTCGTTAGAGAGCCAGAGATTCTGACTAGCGCGCGTTTGCCTTTTGGCTACACTCTCTCTAAGCTAGTACTACGCTCGGCCGTATTTCAGGCCCTTGATAGCTTCGCCGTTTAGTTAACATTTAGGAGCCAACTCCCGTAGAATTTTGATAGCTCCGGCTATATCTTTTAAGTTAAGCATTAGTTAAGTTTGATTTTCTTAGTACTCTTGAGTTCAAGCCCAAGTGGAGGCTTTTCTGTACGTCCTGAGAAAAGGGCCATCTGTTCATCCTTATTTTGAGCAATAAGTGGTAATTAACCCTGCTTGAGTATACGTTTCTGTTTCCTGAGCTAAAGCGATTATTCGCTTAACAGTTCTCAACGTTCCACACACGTAGCTGTAACTTCAAGGTTAGAACCTTAGAACTCTACTAATTTCGCGAAAGATTTTGAATTTAAGATTAAAATGAACGTTGTAGAAGAGAAAGATGTTTACCAAAAAGGAAGTAATAATGCATATGACTAGAACATTAAAGTAAACACGTTTAATTGAAATGTTTCCTTATAAACTGATCAAATTCTGGAAAAATATTCAGAGAGTTTTTGTACCTTGTATTGCATATACGTAGATTTTGTTCATCAAGTAACATGTTTGAGAAAAAGTTACTTAATGAGCAAAATAATGTTTTTTTTTTTTTTTTTTTTTTTTTTTTTTTAAATATGCTATTAATGTTACTTACTATCGAACATGTTACTAACGATTGAAGTCAGTTGTTGACATTCAAATGCAATGGAGGGTAATTTTAAATAACTCCAGAAAATGACTTTGTTCCGGAAGTCCAGCAAGTTTAAGTTAACTTAAAGTTCTAGATTGAATTTTAGAAAATATATTTTGAATTTGTTTTTGTAATTATAATAAGAAGAATTTGTTTTTGTAAGTATAATAAGAAGGGAAAATGTCCTTAATTCAAGGACTTATTCGACATTCGCGGACAAAAATCTGATATTCACAAAAATTTTAGAAAATTTACAGTAAAATTTGGCGGAACAACGTTAAAGATAATTTAGATAGAACGCATGTTGGTAAGTATTGGGAAAATTACTTCAGATATCCTTGATATGTGCCTAGGATTTAAATTCGAAATTCGCCGCACTTATTAAAGCGTATTTAATAATTTATAGCTGAAAAGAATATAATATTTAAGCTTCGTTCAGATTTGTATTTTATTTCTTTCAGTCTTTCAATTTTAGACAAATAAGATTGTTTCAGTACATTTTTGCTCGATTTATGTTTCGGTTTTCACTCAACATATTCTTTCTGTCTTTCAGGGAAGTGAGCGAACTCATGAAACGTTTGGATGCACAGACAAAAGAGGAAATGAGAAATCTGAGTAAAAAGCATAAAGACAAGAATGAATTATCCAGGTACATAATCTTTGTGAATGATTGTATTTTGAAACGTTTCTCATTTAAAGGTATAATACAGTTGCTGAAAATCCATGATTAGAGATGGTTTTAAAATAAACTTGTAACAGACCTATTTAAGTGTAATTGAACTATTTTATTCATGTCATGAACTGTAACCGAACTATTTTATTTAAACGCCATCTCGTGGCGATATGAAAAAACGTCAGTCGACCTCCAGCCGCCATGATGATAGCTTGCTATGTTATGTTATTCTCAATGTTTGATGTTCCATTTGGTATATGTTTCATTTTTATGTATATTTCTTTTGTTTGTAACCGTTCCTGTGTGCTCTGTTAAATCCTTTTAAAGCTAGCCGGCATTAGTGTCTATTGAGGAACGGCTACATCACATTGGCGCCCAACTAAATTTGAATCCAAAATGGCGCAACAAAATGTTTAGAATTTCTGTTTGGCTTTAACAAGCTCTTACTCCCGAATTTAACTTTTAGTTGCTGGAGATCGGCTCAGTTTCTTTTCAGGTGTGGACTACTGGTCAAATATTCTGGAAACCAATTCAGGAATTAAAATTGTCATACCGTGCTGCTAGCACATCGAATCATCAACTGGACAATTTCAACGGAAAAGATAAGTTTCGTTTACAATTTCGTTTAATCTGAGTTTAAAGTTCTTTTAAACTGATTATTTATTATAAGCTGCTTCTTAAAGCAAATGTAAATTCTTTACTGAAATCTGATTTATTAATATTACATAAGAGTATTAAACGAAAGCAAACGGCTTTCTGTTAACCAAACGTTATTTCTTGAATTGTAATTTGTTATTTTAAAATGTTAATGCGCATAGTAAATTAATTTGTGAATAATATTGTTTCACTGAATACATGTTTTGATGTTAAAGTTTGAATATATTCATGGACGTTGTTACAGCAGCAGATGTTTTCCCCCGCGGAAATGTTTAGACTAGCGATGATTTATGATGTGTTTACGTCAAATCTTTTATTATTTTTATTTCCTTTGAGTGCTGTTGTTCCTTATTAAATGTTTTATTCTACATAAAATAAATATTGTACTTGTTTATTTATCTTTCGACGAACATTTTGAGAAAATTATTATAGTATAATACTTTAAGAAAATACGTTGATTGTTTAATGAATGCATGTCTTAAAAAATATTTCTTGAAGCGAAAGAAAATAATTATGAATAAAATCGAATGACTATTAAAAATAAAGTAAAAGAGTTACTGTGTGTTGCTTAATCAGCTTAATATTTTGTTAAGATTAAGATTTCGAAGAATTCAGCTTAAATATAAAAGCTTATGGTAAGACATTTATGTATGTTTTGTATGTTTTGCTAAGTAGTAAACAATTTTTGAGCAATTTATTATATGTTATTTTCTTGATACAAGTTGAATTTATGAGTGCATTTTATGATATTTTTACGACTCCGAAATAATAAACTTTGTGAGTAGTATTGTTTACATTTATAAATACTATTTAATAGTGGTATATTAAATGTACGAGTAACATTGTTTACATTCATACATGCTCTTTAATAGAGGTATATACATTTTACTTAAAGGTATAATTATTAATTCTAAAATACTGTATTGTGAATAAAATCGAAATAACAACAAATTCAACTTCATCTTTTCCCTCCCCCCTGACCTCTCATATAATTATGGCTTACCTTGCCAAAGCACGAAAAGAGGATTTAAAAACTCTCGCTGCAGAACTGGGTTTCACTGTAAACGACACTATGCGAGTAATAATCTTAAAGATCTTATTGTCAATTCTGACACTTATGATGAGGCTTTTACCAGGAATCTTCTGGAAACTTTAATCGAAACTAGACAACAAAAACAATGTGAAAGCAACGATCTGGAGACACGTCAAAGAAAAGAACAAGAACTTTTATTAGAATTGGAAACGTTTAAAATTAAACCTGGCAGCTGCTAGCTCAAATCCCTAACTATGCCGCCTTTGCTTCAAATGCAGCTATTGAAACAAATATTCAACACCTAATCCCTAAATTTACAGGAACTTCTGACATTGCAACCTACCTGCAAATTTTTGAAAGACAATGTGAGAAAGTTAAATATAAAACAAATAGATTACATCACTCATCTCCTACCTCTTCTGCCTATAGACATTTCGCAAATTATTTTAAGAGAACCAAAAGGACAAATTAGAAAGATTATTCTTACATCAAGAAGATTCTGCTACAAAGATTCAAATTAAATGCTGAATCATTTCGAATTAAACTTACTACACCCCAAAGACACCCTGGGTCCTTTATGGAAAGATTTTACTTACGAATTAAACAATTATCTCGAAGAGTGGCTTCATAGTCTCGATGTTACAGACTTTGAATCACTCAAAGACTTGGTCCTGACGGATCAGAGCTTAAAAGAAGAGTCAGTAGTGACGTGATAAGGAGCATTTTATTGATACTTGGGAAAAATAAAGAGTTCATCTGAATTAGTACAGAAATTGGATGATTATGAAGCTGTACGTGTTAAAAATACGAACTATAAAACTCAACTTCCTGGCAGGCGAAACTATTCTTACAAACCGACTAATCCATCCAAACACAAAGTAGAAAATCGAACAAGTGACATACAGGAAACTCATAAAACCTTCTCAAATCGTGTTCAGCAACAAACAGAGGAAAGGTGACCTCCTTTAACATGCTATGGGTGCGGAAAAACTGGTTTTATCAAGTCTAAATGTCCAGACTGTAACCCCCCAAAGACTTCAAATTCATCAAATTTTGGCACTATCCAAATCCGATCCGGTTTATCTTCCACTCGGACTGCTGTATTTCCAATTAGTATTGGTGGTGTTTCCGGTACAGCTTTCGCCGACACTGGTGCTAGTCACTCAATTGCAAGTGAATCCCTCTATCATATTCTGCAGAAACAAGATGCAGTAGTATTTGAAAAGACAACACTAGAGGTGTCTTTCGCTGATGGTTTGGGTATCTGAAAAAGAGGGGCTACTTCGCACCGAACAAATCATTCTTCTCGAAGGCAGAGAGTTCAAAAACTCCGCTCCTTGTGTTGCCTGATGCCAAAATAACTCGACTCTGTTAGGAACTGACTTTCTTCAAAAAGCTAAAATTGTTTTAAATCTTGCTGAAAATAGTGGAACTTTTCTGATGAACCTCGAAGAAAATATAGCTTCGTGAAACCTCATCAATCCCAAGTGGAAAGAAACCCCAGTTGTTGTAAACACTGCCGACTACGAGAAACGAAGGACAAAGAACACCAATTAACTACAGCCCAACGCTTGCAAAACAACGGCTGCAACTTGCTTAACAAATATCACACTGTCTTCAAAGTAGGGGGAGAAAACCAACTAATCAAAAGCCATCTGGCTTACTTCAAACTCCAGTCCTATGCTCAACGTTTTGAAGACCTTGTCGAATTGATCTTTTCGGTCCCCTTCCTGAAACACCGCCTGGTGAAAAATGGATTTTTGTTGTGCAGGACTGTGCTACGAAGTGGACAGAACTATTTGCTTTAAAGGAAGCCACGGCCAGAGAATGTGCCACTATTCTTTTGGAGGAAGTCGCCCTTCGATTTGGGTTATCCAGGAAAATAATAAGTGATAATGGTACCCAGTTTACTAGTGCTTGTTATGCAACAACTATGCTATATCTTGAAACATTGATCAAAGTCTTTACTCCTGTCTATCACCCACAATCTAACCCAGTTGAAAAAGAAGAATAGAGATCTTGAAACCAGCGTTTAGCAATACTTGTTGGTAACGACCATCAGTCATGGAAGGATAAGCTGCCATTAATAAGGTTTGCTTTGAATACAGCCAAATGTGATTCAACTGGACATTCTGCTTCTTTTCTTCAATTTGCACGAGAGTTACGAACCTTAGATGATGTAAAGCATGATATAAAAGCCGTAATTGAGAACGATAATTTTGTTCCCGAAATTACTCCATATTTGAAACGTTTTGCAAGAAATGTACAACAGGTACGAGAAAGAGTCGAATTGCATCAAGATAAACAGAAACATTATGCTGACAGAAAACGAAGAAAAAACACCGAAATTTGTTCCTGGAGATAAAGTTTGGGTCACTCTCCATCCAATCAGCAAAGGTCCACTGAAGAAAACTGCTAAATTCATGCCCAAGAGAGATGGTTCTTATGTGATAGTGACTAGAAGATCTCCAACCACTTATGATATTGCCGATCCTCATGAACCAGACAAAATTCTCGGCAAGTATCATGTTTCAGCCTTGAATCCATATCAAGATCGAAATAAGTTTCAAAACACAGCTCGTGTAACTCCAGTGGTTCCCTTAAAGAAAAGAGGACGCCCGAAACGTGTAATACCACCCGAATCTGCACCTGTTGCACAAGGTGCTGGTGACACTAAATTTCCTGCTTGTCAAACTGGAGCCCATCCATCTGATTCTCCGCCCGCTGCACAAAGTAGACAAATGTCAGTTCCTGACTTCTTGCCGAGACGTCTACGAAGTCAGAGGGGGAGGATGTAACAGACCTATTTAAGTGTAATTGAACTATTTTATTCATGTCATGAACTGTAACGAACTATATTTATTTAAACGCCATCTCGTGGCGATATGAAAAAACGTCAATCGACCTCCAGCCGCCATGATGATAGCTTGCTATGTTATGTTATTCTCAATGTTTGATGTTCCATTTGGTATATGTTTCATTTTTATGTATATTTCTTTTGTTTGTAACCGTTCCTGTGTGCTCTGTTAATAAATCCGTTTAAAGCTAGCCGGCATTAGTGTCTATTGAGGAACGGCTACATCACAAACTATGATTTCTTATTTGAAACTAATTAGAACAATTTTGTGTACTAGCTACATTATTTATGTTCATTCTATTTCTGTTAGCTTAGAAATAGTAGATATGTGGACTAAATTTCGCATATAATTATTCTAATCGATCGTCTTTCGTATTATACATTAAATATTTCTCATAAATGCGTCTGATATCTATTTTTGAGGTAGTATTTCCTCTTTTATCAACACCATTACCAACGGTGTGTCAAAGCTAACTGATAAGTTCTGAAAAATTAGTTTTTAAATTTTTGCTTGAATTTTAGAAGACTACTTAATTTTAAAAAAAAATTAATTGTTTTCATACACACTGATTCATTTAAATAAATAAGGACTAAATCTCAAAATGTTTGGAAATTAAAGTATTTTCCCCTGTAATAAACGCACATACACAAACATAACCATTTTAAATCTAAAAGTAGACAAAATTTAATCTTAAAAAGAAAATCCAATTTGAAACCTACAAAACTCATGGAAAACTGATAGAAACCTTGAAATCAGTTAACAGATCAAGAAAAGTAAGAGCAAAAAAGTATTTTCGAAGATTCAAGACAAGGCATGCATGCGATAGTTTTAAGGAAGAAATGCCTTCGTGGAGCATATTTTAAAAGGAATTAGCTCGTGTTTATGTTACAAATAGAAAATCACGAAAACTCCTATTTGCGGTTCACCAGGACCGAACTCTGACCGAACTGCCAGTGTTAAGTAGTCTTATCGCTCGGTCACTTCGGCAAAAGAATTCTCCGTACTGTAGGTTCATCACAGAGATATATGAACTATACAAAACTAAACACACGAGTTTGAAATTTAAAATTAACCAGAATTCAAATGTAGTTTAAAATAAGCTTTAGGACAAAAAACTAAAATTTTTGAGTTTATTAGACAAAAATTAGATTTTTTTAAAGTTTTCTATAAAGTTTATGTAAGTTTAAAACTTAGATTTGCTTAAATTAGTATACTGCATTTTAAGAGGGAAAATGTAATCTGATATTTATATTTTATTTATTTAATGTATGTTTTGGCGAGACATTATGAATGTATCTAGATTATATGCAGAATTCTGTCATTAATAACTAACAGCAAGGCTATTGAGAAAAAAGCCTGAATGGTACTAGAATAAAATTAATTCCTTTCTTTAAATGGATATTTTTCAGCATGTACGACGTTCAGGAAATACATCTGAGTTCAGACTACGTTTCACTAATACATAAAAAGGCAACCATTAAGAATAACAATTTTGTTACCTTTCCAAGAGCAAATTTCTTAGTTGTCTTTTCCCGTTGATAAATAGTGTCCAATAAATAGCTAGTATAAATAAGTTGAATCTTGTAGAATGGGTGGTTTTCTATGTTTTAAGAAATGTGCCATCGAAATACATTTTAATAAACGATAAATATGAAGTATTTACACAGAAAGATAATACCGGCCTTGCATGTATTTTACATTCGTTATATTGCTCTCACTTTCATACCTTCAGTACTGCTTGAATTATTAAATATATATTTTATTTAATGTGGTGTTAAAACTAATATAAATATATAATTTCTTTCTCTTAGAATTAAACGAGAATTACATCAAAAACTTATCGATACTGCGGTGGCTGAAAGGCAAAGGGTAAAGCTTATTTATTCTAAAGAGTTTTCTCATAACACCAGTTATACTTTGTAATAAATTTTATTTGTTTACGCATGCTTATTTTAATAAGATTACTTTGGCGAAGAACAAAAGATAAGTAATTAAAAGTTGAAAATTTTGTAATTCTGTTTTCAAACATGATTACATTTATTTTTTACAGTTCAGCAGCTTGTTGGAAAAGAAATTATCAGAATTGAATCGGCAGCATTCCAATATAAAAAACACGTTTGAAGATGAAAGGACACACGTAAGTGTTTAATAAAGTTATGTAAAATAATTTTAACATAGGATCCTTAGTTAAATTTTATATTTGAAAATATTTCTCGGTGCGTAATCCGATTTTAACGAAATATCTTTTATATTATTTTATTCCATTCAAATTCAACTGAATTTTTAATTTAATGCATGGTATATCTCTATCTCTATTCTTATTAATGACAATAACTTTTATTAATAATTACGTGTAATTTCTACTTTTCTTAATAATCAAACTTCTATTTTGTAGTTTATTAATTGTAATTTTTCATATTCTACAACAATCACATTATAAATTATGTTTTTCTTTTTGAAAATGAATTTTATTTGAAATTTTCTTTCTACATACATAGCTTTAGTTCACTCATATTTCACAAATTTCATTTAATGTCGTCATAGTTTCTGAATTTATATTTTTGTTGTCTTATTATTTATATTTTTGTTGTCTGGTATGGGTTGGTGCGCTATCTATGGAATATGCCTGAGCAGGAAGTTAAATGAATTAAACCTTTTTCTGACATGATTATGATCAGTCCGAATCGATAATTAACGTAATTTGTTTTTAAATTATTGCTTAGAAATCAATAATTTAACCCGACCTTTTATGTTTGCAAAATATGTTTGGGAAAAATTCGTGACAAATAACTTTGCCTTTTTTAAAATTGTGGGTCGTTTTCTTTTCGAAATAAAGAGAATTTCAGATGAAGAATTTTCCCCAGCTGTGAAATCGCATTAATAAGGATTACAAAAACATTAATTTAATTCATTCAAATTAATTCCTTTTTATTTAAATGCAATATGCAATCCAGTTTATATCGATTAAGTACATAATATTCATATCCAATTCATATCTAGATAAAGCCTAATAAAAAAACAGACAGAAAATCTCAAAAAGAGGGGAATGCAGATATTTGATATCAAGTTATCCGGATTATAAAAATACGTATCTACTTGGTGCTTTATGGGGAAGATGAGAATTAAGCATGTAGCAATTTAGGTTCAGGATATTTCCATATTCTTCCCAGAAGCATGCAGATTTTGAATATATACAAACATAAATATACCGGATATGTAAAATATGAATAGAAAACTAAAAGTCTGTTAAAGTTGCTGCAAGTGATATTTTTTATTTATTAAGTCTGTTAAAGTTGCTGCAAATAACATTTTTACTTATGAAATAATTGTAAACAAAATTTATTTGCGTGTAAAATTAGCATACTTGCTTTCATGTTCCCTTATCCTCCCGATTATCGCTCACAACAGCCATGCAGATATTTTATAGAGTAAATGTGGATCAGAATTACAATTCTGTTAAGAATTGCAGCTTAGTTTGTGGATATTGTTAATGAAACCGAAAGAATCTGAGCTAAATTATGACAAGAGCTAAAAAGTAGGAATAAAAATATTTTTGTAGTTTTGAAGTTCCATAGTTTTATACACATTTAAAACTTTATTTAAACTTTATTCAAATTGTAACACATAGTAAACAGCTTTATATATTCTGTAGCAAAATTGTTGTTAACTAGTGTGGTACATAAGTATTTTTTCCTTCGACTATATTCGACCAACAAAAACCTATCTCCAGATCGGATCCTTAAGTGCTAATAATGTATAAGCTTGTCATTATAATATATTCAGATATGAGTTTTGGTTTTATGAGACTCTCATTAATCCTTTAATCTTTAAAGAATTATATAACAATAATTTATCTACTTGCTCCTCATTTATGCTCACACGTGGTGCGTTTTACACCATATTTTGGCGAGAGGAGTGGGGTCTCATCAAAAGCTCCTCTGAAAGAAAATATGTCTCGCTTGACGCAGCGACCTGTTAATCTGAGAGAGCCGTACTTTTTATAACACACCCACGAAGAGTGTGGAGTGGAGCCTGTAAATCGGATGAATGAGTAGTTGTCAAACTGCCGGGCTTTCGACACCGGCCACTCTGTGGATTAACAGAATTAATGGGGTTCTAGGCAGTTGTCTTATTCCTACAGGCAGAGCTAGATTAACCATTAAACAAAATAAGCACGTGTTTAGAGAATCAAGGAAAAGGGACATTATAAAAAGGTACGTAGGAACTGGAAAAAAAGGGAGCACCAATGAACTTCCATTGCCAATTTTACCATGTCATGTTTGGTGCACTTGTAAATAAATGTATGTGGAAGCACTAAAATCTTTTAAATGCTTAGGACCTCTAAAAGCCTTAATCAGGCTCTGCTTACAAGTTACAGGACCCTCTGGTTTACACCCCAGAGCCGAGAGTGATAGTGTATAAATCTCATCTAAAACAATAAATGGCCCCGAGGAGCAGGAGGGCTATAAATTAATTGCTGTTTCTCTATTTTTCAGTTGCATTATAAAAATATAATTAGAATTAAGGACTTTTCTTCGAGGAAATAGGCATGCAACGCAGCATTTTCAAAATTACGGATCCTGCATTAAAAACAGCCAGCCTTAATAAAAGGCAGATAGCCGTTGTGTGCTTTGCTATAATCAACTGGCCCAAACCAACCTCAATGAACTGGGTATATAATCATTAGCGATGTATGTTCCTCCTAGATTTCTGCCGAAATGATTGGTGCAAGTTTGAATATGCTATATCAGTCACTCGTATCTGTTGATGATCCAACTAAATAAAGAACGGGCTTTTCCTGAAACTTCTACCGGAAAGACTAGTACAACTTTGGCAGGATTTCTGCCAACTTTCATAGTCGACCAGAGAGTGCGTAAATACTGCCATGTATTTTTTGGATACATATTGTAGTGCCTAACTTATTAACGACTAGGCAGTGCAGTTTGATTTTTATTTTCCGGTTAGTAAATTTTCATCTTTACTTTTCTATTTTCGCTCTTTCTAATTTTAGGCCCAAGAAAGATTAAGATTAGAATACGAAGAAAAGTGCAACAAGGTGACAAAAGAGTTCGAGAAAAATTCCTCTATATTTCTCACGCCGCCAGAAGTAGCAGAAAGTACGAAATTATGAGGTTTTTAAAGGTAAGTTACTTTCATCTGAAAAAAATAATAATAAAGATTTGTAGTTGATTCTTGCTGTTTCATGCATCATGCATGATTCTTAATACGTCTGAAAACTAATTTTCTAGTTATTTCTCATTTAACAATTAGATAAGTTCTGAAACTGGTATATATTCATCATCATAGTCACTATTCAGAACGCAGTGACACTATTCTTTAGCTATAACTTTAGATTTTGCAGATAATATATGTAGTATCAGTTGCTGCAACTGTAGATAGGAGCCCAAACTGCTCTAGTCAACGGCGAACGAACTAATATCACAATATCACCAATCTACTAAGTCCTGCATCTTCGAATATAAAAAAGTTATAACACCGTTATGCACATCCGCGAATTTATTCCACGAAAACTTTTAACTAAACAGATGTTAAAGGTGTTTTATAGGCATTCTGTAATTATTTTAATTATGTCGAAAACCGTATTTACACGGTTTTTTTCCCATTTTCGTATCAATTTTAATTATTCAAAACTGGTAGGGAAAAATTACTCTGTGTATATTATTTCTGAAAAGACGATTTGAAAGATAAATATACCACATTCAAAAGATTCATAAAGATACAATAATATTCGTATATTACGTATTTTGAAGGATTTTCGTTTTACTTACACAAAATAATTTCCTGTTTGTGCATACATTTTACATCATTGCCCTAAATCAGAAGTTTCAGAGTCATATGATAAAAATATTAGGGATAAATTTACGGAAGAGGTTAAGAACAGAAATAGGCAAGTAAATATTGTATTTACAAAATTTACTTGAATCTTTACTAAAATTTTAATCCTTATTTTTCTAGGAAAACGCCAGTTGTAGATGAGATTTTTAATCACTTGCAAAGTGAAAGAGGAGGAGTTCTGTTTGTGAAAAACGGATGTTCTGTTCTAGAATCTCTCGTCTAGTTATATCTCCCATCGTCAACATGTGTGGAGACGACGGTTTTGAAAGCTCCACGCAGCTAAAGCATCTCTCTAGGAATGAATAAGCGTCTGCCTTGAATCACTTTTCTCTACAGTTTCCATTTGTATTTGACTTCACCACGTCTGTTTACGTGTCTGTAATTAACCGCAACTACGATCACTATTCCATTCCCGATCTTTTTCTAGTCTGGGAGAAGCATCACCACTCCTTTTAATAAATAATTTGTGTTCTCAAATAAAACGTATATCTAAAAATTTGTGCTTGATTTGACATTTTTCATTGTTCCTATTTATATTAAGAAAGGAACTTTTATGAGAGAAATAATTATTTGTGAAATATGTATTCTTGTGTATCGTGATTATTCATTAATAACTGTTCATTGGTATTTCACTGCTGTTCATGTTTCATTGATAGCAATTTTTAGTGCTGACATTTTTCAGCAGTATCAAACAATTGAATTTATTAATTTTTAAGGTAAGGGAAAATATTTGAATTATTTTAATGTCCTATTTTAATGTCTAAATGCCGTATAAAGAAGGATCTGAGAAATTTCAATTGTCGCTTTTTCAGTTTTATGAAATTTTATTTGAAAATATTTTGTATGTTTCTAAAATGTATTTTGTAAAAGGTTAGAAGATATAAGATTACTTGCGAAGCAACTGGCTAGCCCTTTGGCAAAAATAAGAATGTAAGATTTTCGAATATATAACATATGATAGATCAAATTTGATTTAAATTATCAAAGATAATTTTAACGATGGACATTGTAATTAAAATAATATTTTTTTATAATTTGTGCTGAATTAAGCTGTGTAAAAGAATTTTGGGGATTTTTGGGTTATACCTTGAAAATGTTACAGAAATCCTGAAATTTAGTTTTAAAACAAAAGTACATTTTTTTTCTTACGCTTTTATAAGATTTATTGCAACGGAAATCCATGAAATGCGTTTTAAGTGTTCTACAATATCTTCAATTTTTCTCTAAAAACATATCCAAGTATAAGAAATACATAGAAATTTCAATAGATAAAGTGCAACTCTATAACTTACAATGAATTTATAATAATTTGCTTTATTTATTTAAACAGCTATAAGAAATAAGTCTTGTTTTGATGTATTAAAACATTTGTTGCTATAAATTGCATTTAAATTTCGACAATTTGTTTTCTCAGGTCCTGTATTTCAAACTGTATGATTTTATCCCACAGAAAATGAAAATCGCTTTAGACATTGCTGATAATTCTACTCGTCCAAATTGCAGAACTGTTTCTGCTTTTTCCTCTGAAAATGAATATATTTCCCTACAGTATTTTATGTGACTTTAATGGGATTTTGTTTTTTACATTTTATACTTTTTATGTGTTTCTAAACTTATAAGTTATTTACTTTTTTTAATTTACTTTACTAAATATCTTTCTTTCCTTTATATAATTTTATTGTAGAAAAATCTAAGTTTTTTAATTTTGTCTTTCGTAATTTGACTACATTCTTTTACAAATTTTATATTTCGCATTTTAAATTTAAAAAAAATTAAGTTGTTTTAATGTAAATTATGGACACTTATCCTCTTCTTTTTGTTAAATTCATGCTCATTTCTCGTAAAATTACCACACGCTAAACAGCCGTTCAACCAAAAGTGTGAAGGCTGACGCTCTGTATAAATACTGTTGTTTACTTCTCATCAATATTTCTTCGAGGATGCTCTTTTCATTCATGTTTCGAAGGATCTTTTTTTCAAGCGTACTTCTGTTGTACGTCCCACTGCAGCTCAATGTTTTGTGTGTTTAAATGTCTCGCCTCGACAATAGGTTTGAAATTCTGAAATATACAAAGATGAAATTTCGAAAGGAATTTATATCTCTCGAGTTTAAAATCACTTTTGGGGAATGTATTCTGTGATAATTATTGAAATTCGTAATTTATATAAAATATGTATAAAACTATTAACCTTTGTTCTCTTTTATAGTAGAGCGTCGCTTACCGAACGAGTATTAGGCTGGGTAATTAGAATTATTATTTCATTTAAGTTTATGTAATACACATGCGCGTGCTTTATCAAAAATGTCGGCCACGGTATGTTCGACTTTGACAGTCATTCCTCACCTATATATATCGTGATTTTTTAAAGCGTCACTAAATTATGTTTTGTATGTGTGTTGATTTTTAAATCAAGCTTAAATGGAGGTAAAATGTTTTTGTTCTATAAAAAATATTCTCCATTGACAAAAATTTGTCGAATTTTCAAAATTAAATCGCACAGTGATCGAAACTAAACTAAAATGAAAAAGTGGTCTCATATCACAGTAAAAAATCATGTAATCTTTATATAAAAGGTTGGAAAACCCAACTTCCAGTGTTTTTAATACCAAATCATTTGGAATGAAATTTAGATAACTATTTAATCAAAATATCTAGATTTCGTTCAAAATATTTTGGTTATTTGTTTTACTTGATTACGACAAAGCACACGCAATCTATCTGCCTAAGACCAGGGATTCCTTCTTGGAGGTCTTCCTAAGGAAAACTCTTGTATACACGTTACACATGGGGAAAACCACAAAAAACGTTCATGCGGCCGTTCGTTGAGGGATCCGAACCATGGACCGAACTACCAGTGTTCAGCGACTTTACCGCTTGGCTACTGGAGGGCAAAACAATATTATGGTATTTATTCAGAACATTTGCTATGAATCTAGACATCTAGTTAATTTAAGGTTTGGTCAGTCAACAAAATCATTTTTAGCGTTGTAATTAAATAGCCTTAATATTTATTTCCTATTTGTTAGTTTATTATTATTATCAAATATAAAAAAAGAAAGCTTATTAATCTTCGAAAATTTAATATTAATCATTTGAAAACTTTTGCATCTGTTTAAAACTGCTGTCTATTAAAAACTTAGAGAAATGTTAATATTTAGATTCGAATTTTTATAATAAGAAAGAAGATATATATCAAGAAGCAGAAGACATATCTTTCTTATTATAAAAGAAAAATTTCAGCAAAAGCATTATCGTATCCTTTCCTTTATGCAGAGTGCATTTAGGGCCCTATGCTAAGCAAAGGAGACAATAATTAACTTAAATGTTTATGTTGGCCAAACGGCGAAGCCTAATAAAAGTATTTTTAATTGCTCTTACTCTAAATCTCATGATATTCTACTAATTTGTTAAATACTGCAGAGCTTTATACTTAATTTTTTTAATATACGAAATTCGTAAAATTATGGAAAAATTCCTCATTTATAAATTCCAGTTAATTATGTGGTGTTTTTCCCTCATTACTGAAAGGCTTTTCATTAAACCAATTCATAATGGATATTATACAATATAACATCCAAAAGTAACAAGTTATACAAGTAATAAAAAAGCATTTCGATTTAAGTAACTCAAAGTTCTTTCCTGTTAATGTTTCAGGAAGCTAGTTAATGAATGTTTCAAGCAGCATGTCGGTTAACTACCTCAGAGAATAATGCTGGGTATCGATTAATTATGCTCATTTTCCCTTTTTTTTTTCAACTACTTCTCTAGTATTGATCACGGAGGAAGAATCGTGCCTCATAAAATTTAAAAAGCTGCTGTGCTAGAAGCTGCTACTTTTCTACCAAAAATTCATTCTTTCTTACATTGAACAAAATTTGAAATATTTATATCATGAGAAACAACTAAGCAAATTATATCCCAAATTTATTAAGTTTAAAAGAAAAGTATTAAATAGAAATATAACGTAACATATAATTTCTTTCGTAACACTAAGCAAAAACTACTATAATGTATAAAAATACATAAGAATATGGCAAGATGAATTTTATTTCTGCTGTGTCATTTATTGTGATTTAATCGTTTAATTTGTACTTGGTTTAATTTACTGTTCGATTAAACGACGTTCTACTTCATTTGAAATTTCATTCCTGGTTTTTTGATACATGAAAAAGTACTTTATTTATGATACTTGTTATTTAATATGATTATATCATTTGCTTAGCTTTCATAATTGTTCCTGAAACTTGTAAATATACGATGATTGTAATATATAATTTTTATATATGACTCAATTTTCATTCTAAGAGAAAATGTTAGTTATTTGTGATATTAAACTGTTGAATGTAAAATTTTGTCGGAACTCTAAAATTAGTTCCAGTTTGGAGATATATTTTTAGAAATTCTTCATGGAATACAATCAAACGTCTGTGCTAGGATAATTAAAGGCTCAAAATGCCTAAACGTTTTGCCTTTAACTTTTCGATTCTTCCAGACTCAAAAACTCTATGTTATTAGAGCTTTCTCTGAACGTGTACATATAAATATATGCTGAAACTATAAGTATACTTGTTAAAGTTTAGAAAAATACTCTTTATTCTTCAAAAATTGGCATTTTGAAAAAAAATAACGTCAGTTATTACTGATCGTTAATATTGAAGCCACTTAAATTAATACTGCTGTAGTAAATGGGAAAGTTTTAATTTAAACGTCTGTGAACGTAATCTTTTAAAAGTTTCCTCTTTCTTTCAGTTGTGATATTTATAAAGAGACAAAACATTTAGACGAAAAAGAAGTTTAATATATATTTTTTAAATTTTGCTGTAAATATCTTAGAAGGCATCAAAAGTATTCTTACTCGTAAAATGCAATTTTTAAACACACAGCAAATTTAAAAAATGCGTGATTTTTAACATAACTCATCATAAAATGTAATGAGTGTTGAGTTCATAAAGTATTTAAAGTTGCATTTGTACTGGGTTCCAACAAGGCAGCATCTGATTATAGTTTTGCATTTATTTAAAAAGTATATATAGTATATAGTAGATACGTTACTCTAGAAATCAAGCGGTTGCACAAGGCAAAATTTTAATATTGTATTTTATTACCTTCAGACATATTTTCTGCTTACATTCATACAAAAACATATATGAAAATGTACGAAAATAGCATTACTCTCGTGAGAGATACATCGTTATTTTCAAAACCACACATAATAATATAATTCTGTCTGAAATTCCTCACCTAAATCTGCTTTTGCATCAGATTTCAAAGGCAGGATACAGAAGGATAACAAAGACTAATTATGTGAGGCAAGATATGGAAAAGGTATTTGAAAGTAGGTTCATGGGTCAACTTTCGGTACTACTTTTTGGTAGACGGTTGCACGGATTTGGCGATTTACGTTGGCGCAATTGTTGTCACGGTTTTTACATTCGTCAGCCTCTTGGAAGACGCTGTTTTTACGTATTTTGCGTATAGTAAAGTATTCGAAACTTTTTAAAAAATATATCCTTAAAAATAATGGATTAATTTTTTGTTGAAAACGCCGTTTTTTATGATGGCAGGGGAATGTAAATAAATGCATTTACTACAAATTAAAAACATCATACCAACGTTTAAAAGAATTAAAATATTACTTAAATTCAAATACTTTAAAATAAGTTTTATAGGATATAATTATTTAACATTAAAACATATGGAGAAATAAGTATAATGCTTAAAACATTAGATTTAATTTATAGATATTAAAAACCACTTTTAAAGTAGGGTGACGTCATTCATTACATCATCCACAACATAAATTTATATAAAATATCATAAACAATACAATTTTTATTTCAAATAAAAATGAAAAATTAATTTAATATTTAGAAGTCATAAAAAATATTTAAAACAGGGAATTTATGCATAATAAAACGCATTATTTATATAAAATGACAACAAAGTATCGATTACAATAAATAACTTGTCTAGCAATGGGTTTAACGATAAGTCGTATCTCTCGCCAAAATCCGTGCAACCGTCTTCCAAAGTAGCACCCAACTTTCTTTCCATGTTCATAAATAAGTAAAATTTTGAAATAAAATTAAATTTCTTATCAAATATTCTTTCTACTTTTTGCGTATGCTGTTTATTGCTTCCCGATTGAGAAATGTTAATATTTAGATTCGAATTTTCATAAAATATGGCATTATTAACTATCAAAATCTAGTTCTATCCAATAAATAGATATCTATTTCACTTATACTGAAATATAAAAATACTTTACATTTTCCCTTTTTTTTTTTTTTTTTTTTTTTTTTTTTTTTTTTTTTTTTTCAAATTAAAGTATTACGTTTTTACTGATTATTTTAGAACTAAAGAGTATTTGACAAATAAAATAAAAAATAAAATAAAAATAAATACCTTTGCCGGGTACAAATAGGTAGCATATGAATGTTCATTTGTAAACTAATATATATTTAAAATTGAGTTTCGCTTTCATTTCTGCGGAAAACTATGCAAACTTTTGTTTTTCTTTCCATCTTACAAATGACTACTCACATGTGCATTATAATGTTTTGT